TTATTGGCTTTGGAGGAACTGGAGGAATGAGATGAGTTTGCCTTCTCTGCTTGTCCATAAAAAAAAGAAGAAGCTCATCTCTTTCCAGCCGTGTCAGTTAGCTCGTAGTAATGAATCTCATCCGAGGCTTTACTTACCTTCCATTGCAATTTTTTAAGGGAGGAATACATATTTTAGCATATTCATGTCGAGTGGAATGGTGGCGTTGATGACTATGAACATTTATTTATGGAACTATTAACTTCCGAGGGGCTACAAATGCATAATCTCATCGGATCTTTTCTCTTTCTTCCGTTGGAATATTTATTCTGGGATTTGTGCAACATTACTTTTGTGCAGAGATGAGCTCGAGAATAGGCGCAATCAGTGTGTTGTCGTTCGTGGGTGGGTGTTACACATGTAGCAATAAATATGATGTATTATTAATACATATACACACCTCGTGATGATTGTGTATATTTTGCTTTGCTAGTTGTTAATCAGGGTGCCATGCTTTTCGCTTTGTTAACTTGATTAGCGGACTAATATGGCATTTCCGGTTTTATTTTTGGCCGTGACATTTCGACTCGGATTGACAATGGGTAAAGTAAAATGAAACTGTGTTATGTACTCTAGAGACGTAAGGTGATCTTAAACTGGTTGTTTTTCTTCATGTCGGAGATAAGATGACAATAAATATATTTAGAGCAAAATTGTGGTGATGAGATGAGTAGGAGGACGAAGTCATTACGCATGATTTTTTTCTACCTATGAATTACTTGTGAAATCATCCGCACTATTGTTAACTGCTCATTACTGATCATCAGTAGTTATCGTTAAAAGAACTTCGTTTTGCAGTATGGCTTAATTATTTAAGGAACATGTTATCTGCTACTCATATGCATTTGTAATATTTGTGTAAAGGATTCAGCAGTTTACTTGGCCTGGGTCTGGTTGAGACCTATGTTTTGGTTTGCTTCTTTGTTATCATTTCATTTTAAATTTACTTTTAAACTCAATCCCAGTTGTGCAGTATTTATGTTGCGTTACAAATGTGCAGTTGTATGTACTACTGGGAGTCCATGCTGAGCATTTAAATGTGGGCCGGGTTCGTTCTACAGATATTATTCTTGTAATTGAATATCTCTTGTCTTATATTCGAGTCAAATAAACTTTACACTTTGTTCCGTGTTTGGTTTCTCTGTGGAAATCAGGTAAATCAGATTTTACGCAGAGAAAGAACCAAAAAATATCTCGACTGCAAACTTCGTAGGTGGTTTATTGGTATGTGTTGCAATTTTAACCAACATATTACATTACTTACAATGAATTGACAGTATTTTGTTTTAGATTCTCGTCCAATATTAATGAATGAAAATGGAAATATGACTGAATTTAGTAGACTTAAAGGGGTTGCTTACTGTAAGATTATTTTCGTGCGAGGGGTTAAAACTCCCATGCAGAATCTTATAGGTTCAACAAGTGGGTTTAGTCATTGTTGATGTAGGGTTGATTCAGATCGACTCATTATTCAATAAAAGATTTGAAATACGATACCGTTGAGGTGGTTCGCACAAGATTGAGGATCCGCTAATTTCAGTATGAATGGAAAATTAAGTGTTTCATTGTTCCGAAACTTAACCCAAAGTTTAATGAATGAATGAAAATCTTTCTTTTACAAGTGTTCCATTATTCAATTAAATTACGAATTTAAAAAAAATACTGGAAGGATTTTACCTAAATCTGGAAAGGAAGAAAGAAGTGACGACAGGAAATTGCTCAATCAAGAAAGGATTGCTTGGGTGTAAAAAGAAAGAAATTTGAGACGTCCAAATTGAGAAGACTGATTAAATAAATCTCCCAGTTTTTATAAATTGCTTAATATTACTTAATAAAATCTGTGGTGTGGGAACCTTCCAAAATTTGGGAGTTCCCATATTTTATTGTGTCTGACCGTCTCCCCGATTCGGCGAGTATGTAAATCAATCTCATACATCGTGTGAAAGCCAAAGATGCATTACTTACATAAATTGTATACGATTTCCCGTACCGGATTTAATTTCCTTAAGATCTTAAATTCCTTAAACATTTAAGAAGACTTTCATACATAGATTTTCATTTAAAAGGGTTATTTACACATTGCATTGTAAGGTTCGGGCGTAGGTCAGAGGCGTTTTTTAAATAATTTGTTTAAACTTCTCAATTCATTTATTTGAGCCTTGTCTGTCTTGCGTGTGGGTCTCAAAACTGGATGGAGGAACTTGTTCCAAAGTTTATTTCAACTTGTTTTAGATTATTATTGTGAAAACCAGATTGCCCTCAATGCTGGCGTCGGGTGTCACGGCAAAATGGTCATTTAAGCAGCTTATACAGGAGCATGATCGACTTGGTTGAACCCACACGATGCGCTTGGCTGCTGGCTATGTAGAAATTGCTGAATATCGAGACTGTTTTGATTTCTGAACTGATGTTGTTATGCAGATGGGCGAGACGACGATTTGTTTACGAAGGATGGACTTTGACTTCCTTCGTTTTAATTTTGACACTCCTTCCTTGATGATCGGAAGCGAAGATTTAAAGTTTTAGGAAATGGATGGAGTGCAGTTGATTAACGAATATGTGGAGATTGTTTCATAAAAAAAGAAGAGAGAGAAAATTTCATGGATGAATGAAAACTATGTTTTAAAGAGCACGAATAAAATTCACCGGAACTGAACTAAATGAGAGAGTAAGAACGTGGTAGTAAAAGTGCAACGGAAGTTTGTTTAAAAAACACTATCACTATCAATAGTGAATGAAATGGATGGATGAAGAAGTTTAGATGAGATTCTTACATACTTACTTAAAATGAAGGACTGCGATATTTCCGTTTTACCCAAAAATTAAACAAAACTCTTTCCAACTTGAGTTTACTTGTTCAATCCTTCATTTCATTTGAGAACTTGTCATCTCAAAATTTCGCTTTCCATTTCTCGGCTGGGTCCTTTGTGGGATTATGTATTATTGGAAATGATTGTGTGTGGTTGGGTGGGACGACAGTTTTAATCTTGTCATGGGAAAATTTAAGTACTTAAAATAAGAGAATGATCTGTCTCTTTATAAATACGTCTTTGTGGGTCCTTTATTGGGTTTGGGTCCATATTAAATAGATATTTATCCATCTTTCACACATATTTTGTTTCGTCGCCTATGTACATTTTCGAGTACTTATAACCTTTAAAAGTAAATCCTTACCCTAATTTTAAAAATTTTATCAAAGTTTCTTAAGTTGTTCAAAATTCATTTATATGCATCTTATTCTCAGTTTCGTTCGTCATTAAATTGACGTAATAAATATGTCAATAAGATCAGTAGGAATGAAATAAGCTTTTAATCCAACATAATAATTCATGTTTACTTGTTGGATAAACAGACAGCGCCTAAAATATGGATTGTTTATGACGAAATTCAGTTTTTTATGTATCAACCCTTCACTAATCTATCTATAATGCTTGTAATTACAGTTTAATTCAATCTAAATCATTTAGTGGAGATGATCTCCTTGTGCTTCTGTTTATTCAGCCCTGTAAAAAATGGAGTCTTCTCTCTTCTCGAGATATGAGAGAAACCACTGTCAAACGGGACAAACATCTCGTGATCATCATAATTTTCGAGCTCTTTCAGGTTTCAATTTCACTTATGCATTCATTCCCAGCCAGATTCCAGTAATAATAATTCTTTAGAGGCTTTTACTTTGCCGTTCGTCGCAGTGGCGGCGGAAGCAGGGGGACCTCAGAAATTCATAAAAATCCTATCATGCCCATGTTAATAAGGTCCTCCTCTTCCTATTTTATAATACTAATGTCCCCCAACTTCCGCCGCTGCTGGTTCGTTCATTGGTATTATTATGATATGATTCCTCGAGTTTTATGACTTGTTCGACTAGCTCGGCTCAAGTCAGGAGTATAACTGACATGGGCGAGTGGACGAGGTCAAAAGGGGATCAATGGGCCTTTTCATGCTTTGATTTCATGTTTGATGATACACATACAAAGATTTCTTCTTTTTTACGGCCGTCGCCGTCTCTGCGTTTTTTAGGAAGGATGTAATGTTAAATTTAAGATGTATCTACATAAGTTTTACTTCGTTATTCTATTTATCATCTTCATCAGTATAGTTGAGATGAGAGGAAAGTTTAAGTTTGCATTTCCATGTAATGATAGTGACATTCAGAGAATTTTGACAGAACGGATTAAAAAAACGATGTTATGTGTACATATTCCTAGTATTTGTCTGGGGGGAATATTTATCCACGTATTTAGTTATAAATACGTAGGAAGGATTATTTATAAACTGACAAGTGCTTAAAGTTATTGCATATGACGGCCAAAATTGAGAAATACCATAGCTATTTTTGTTCATATTTGCATATTTATAAGCTAGAAGCAAGTCTTGTTCACACTTGCAAGCTTTATCGACTCCCAATGTCATACTGGGATGGGTGCTCGATTTAGTTGTATCATGGCTGATTTCCGGTTTTTATTTCTCAAATGGTCCAGGACATAATAAGTATGTATCTCATACACAGTATCGAATAATAGTAAGTCATTATTCTTCTAGACGCACTATGGTATCTTTACATAGCTGCATTCTGCATAATTTTAGCACAAATACATGGTAAAAATGTATGTATATGCATGGTATGTCCAAATCCAATATATTTAAGACTTTGTGGTTTTCCTTGTGTGACTTTGTAACTTTTATTATTTGTCAACTTGACCGAAACTTGCACAAGAAGATAGCAATGCATATAATTTTTTCGTACAACGACAAGTTTTATAAAGGTGTCTCAAAATGTGCTCCTTAAAAATTATTACTCAATATTTCGATCATTGTTTTATGATCAATTAATTGGTTTAATTTAGCAGAATAAAATTGATTACACGCCCTTTTTGATTTATTGCGATTCTAAATAGTGCAGTGCCTATTAAATACGTGCCGTGCCTTTATTATACCCATTTGTACTTGTATCCTTTTTTCAGAACCCACAATGGACGTGGCAATAGTTTCGTGCCACGAGTGTTTTTTCTCAAAAAATGCCGAATCTCACATCCGTGGCTTCCTGGACAAGTTGGTCACACCGGATAAGCAAAAGATGGATGTTAAGTAAGTGCTTCTAAAGATGACTCTTCATGTGACACGCAGTCTAGTCGAATGGATGAGGAATTTTCTTTGTTCTTTCAATTTAACGACTAGTGTCGATCCAGGAATGTTGTTTGTTCTGCTGCATTCAACATTATTGTCTTTTTTTGCAGACTCCAGTCCTATGATATGAAAGATCTCGAACACTCCAAAGTAGCTGCAGATGTTCACAGGTTTGTATTCATAGACTTGTTCTCATACATGAAAACTGAAAATGTAGGAGCATATTAACCGCACTACAAGTTATCCTATGATTTATGTATAATACAAGTGAGAAATTATATTTCATTTCAAACAAACATTTCGAACAAAATTTAAAATTTTCCAAAAATTTTCCATATTTTCTTAATCTTGAACATGGTCAACAACATATGTAAACTCCGTTCCACATGTGAGTGACACCACATATTTTTATTTTGGCGTTTAAATCATACAAAATCGAAATCATATAAAATTTAAAAAAAATATTTTGACGTTCAAATTATTCAATAATTCGGGGAATGTACTCAATGCGATGAACTCACCAAATGTGAAACTGAGTTTAAGTATCTTTTATTTGTAAATATGTACAACTAATTTGACGACAATAATTTCAGGTCCAAAGTACAAATCGTTATAATCTCGCACCACTTTCTTCAACGGCTGAAAATCGAAGAGTCGTCGAGAGTCAGGGTTTCTCCCGTGAACAGGGTTTTCCGTTCAAAAAGGGTTATCGCCATTCTCGCTGGTGGAGTGAACCATCAAGAAATTAGCGACGGATACCAAATGGGTAAGCCATACATACATATTCTTATCTTTGTGATGAAAGATAAATGACTCGACGAATTACGACCACATTCACTTGGAATGTTTACTTTCTTGCCCCATGCAAAAGAAGCCATCTCAATCTCACAGTTTGTTTATTTATCAAATTTCTTAGTGTTGGCCCGATTTGGGGAATGGTTTCCCGTCGAATTACGATCAACTTGCAAATTGGATCTGGAATTTTCAAAAAAGTTTACCGACCATTTCGTCAAAATTTACAACTTGGAACAATGCAACACCAACAATTTTACAGTATTTCCCAAGAAGGTGACTCGGGACCAGCCAAAGATTATCATCATATTGAAGAAGCCGTTAGACTCGGGGGATGACGTGCGCGTTGAGTTTTCATGCGGTCGAAGAACAGAAGGTTCCACTTTCATCAAAATTGAAAATCCATACACTCTTTCTGTCCGCCTGCCAGGTTCGTGTTTTTGATTAATGTTTAAAATTTATGTCAAAAAATCATGCGGCGTTTTATGGTTTTCCTTTTTACCGCAAATATGTATGCAAGCGACCTTGGAATTCCGTATTTTTGCAAGTTCATAATTGTTTGATGCCAGTGGCCGCGGAAACTGTGGACAGATAATCTAGGGACGTTATATAACGTGTAGGATAGGGGAGGGATTTATTAACATGGGAGATGATGGGGACACCGAATAACAGTGGGGACATTGTCCCTTTGTCCCCACGCTTCCGCGGCCACTGTTTAATGCTACTGATCACTGAACTCTAAAAAAATAGACGGAATATATACTTTTTTTATTTGCATGTTCCCAATTTCCATCATCATGTTGATAATAAAGTGCTTTACCCTTTTTTGCAGACTCATTATGCCCGGAAAAAGTAGCCTATGTCGAAATCTCTGTTTATCTATCGAACCAGAAATTGGGGGCCACATGCATAAAGTCAGATATGCAGGCGAGGATTTGCGATGATGACGTGGTTGAGAAGATGACAAAGGTGTGTGTTATGTTATTTTATGTCTTGCCTGCTTTCGCACACATGTGCTACTTATGTACTTATGGAGGACACGGAAGGAAGGAAAGTACAGTTTTTGAATGATTTATTTTTGTTTTCAGATGGTACCTGGGTTTTTGAAGCTATTTGACGAACATATTAAGCAGACTCTCATAAAGAACTACCGCGAGTGTACGGACTACCTCACAGATCCTGCCATCGAACTGATGAATGACGTTCTTATTTGTAAAGGTATGTTCTCAAATGGATTATGATGTGTGGATGGAAGACTGACTTTTCATGTTCAAATTAGGGGACGAATTTCCTACAATTATGCATTTTGCTGCCTTTTACGGCCTGGAACATACCGCATTTACCGTATTGGACGAAGCTGATGGTCTCGAACAGTGCAAAATTCTCAATGACAATGAAATGAAACCGTTGGATTTGGCAGAGTACAGAAGTAACGACAATGTCGTACAAATCATTATGGATTATCATGTCCACCAAGAAATCAGTGCGTCCTACAAGGCTTATCAAATAATGAAGAACATTTACTCTCGTGACAGTGTTCTGGAATTGAGAAAAAAGGAAATTGTGAGCAAAAGCAGGCAGGCTGACAAGCCAAAGATATCACTTCCGGAATATGAAAATTTACCTGAAACCGCAATCCTTGACGAGTCCAACACTGAAGCAGAAACACAAGAGAATAATGCATCTTTATCACCAGCAATTATTTCCGACGACCAAAAGAGTGTTAGCAGTGGGGGATCATATATATCGTGGAATTTCAATCAAAATCCTGCCGAATCTGAAGCCACAGATCAGCCGAAACCCCAAACTCCCCAAAAGCCAAAGCCTGTCGCGAGAAGTCATCGTTCCAAGTTGAAAAAGCCGTATGTAAATGTTGCAGATGAAATTTTGAATGACGGAAAAGCTCAAGTGGAAGCAGTATCACAGGACGAAGTACGTCTACGTCATCCAAGAGAGAACAGAAGACCCTCAAGGGACCATTTAAGGCGCAAGTCTATTTCCCCCATTCAGAATTACGATATTCCAAGATTCTCCAATGAGGAGTACGCCATTCCTCCACCAGATTCAAGGCCAGTGCTCCCAGAAAAATCAAAAACTGACAATTCTCCCGTATTAGTCAAGAAAACTACGGGGTCTATTCCCATCACAAATGACGGATATCTTATCATGGACCATGAAGAACAAAATGGAGAAATTGTCCTGAAAGAACATCTTCGATATCAGGAAGGAACCTTTGTTTCAATCTCGCATACACCAAAGAATGATCAAGTACAACAACCGGCAGGCGTGGTTCAGCATTCTAACTCTTTCGACACTGCCCCAATCAGCCCACCGCAAGGGGCGAAAACACCTCCGAATAATTCGAACACCAGTCCTATTAAGAACGAAGAACGAAAAAATAGTCTAACAATCGAACCGAATATCATGTTAGATCCTGTGGACGAAGAATTAATTCACTTGATGAAAGATTTTACAAACGCAGGATATTCAATCTCGCAAATTGAACTATTATTTGAGAATTGGAAATGTCGCCCGGACGTCCAAAAATCCATTGAGGATAAGAAAAGTTACATGAAGAAAGTTCGGGAAGAGTATAAAAGATTACAATCGACCCAAACAACGAAGGGTGCTTCCATTTTGGACAAGATAAAAGTCGTCCTCACTGGTAAAATCGTTTTTTAAACTGATGATGTTACAATGTTTGGAACTCATGTAAAACTAACACTGTCTGAAAATAATTTTAGGAAAGAAAAAAACTAGTGTCACATCATCACCAAAGTTTGAACATTTGGGAGGAGTAAAATTTTCTACAGACGACATACAAAGATGTAATCGATACATATATTATGTAGTATTTATGCTATGAGTAGTTTAAAATTTGCGAACTATGTGCAATAATAATGACCATCATAAATCATTTAGTGCAATCTCGGCCTTCAGCAGACCGTGAGAGTCTTGGGAGTCACGGGAGTGGGAGCGGTACCAGCGTGCCTGACAGTGGGTTTGGCGTGTCCGAGCTGGACTTAGAACGGGAACATGACAACAATAAGGATCTGGGTGGTAGCAGCAGTGGTGGTGGTTATGATTCCAGTAGCCCAAAAATATACCGAAATCCTTTGGACCGAAGATTTATTCCTTCATACGTCCCCCGAGAACCCCCGCCTGGATCAGCTACTGATTCACCAGGAGGCGATGCTGATTACCAAGTCCCTCCCCCACCTCGTCCCCTGAACAGCCCAAAGGTGCCACAAAAACCTGCAAGGGCAGGAGTTGTTCCAGGGTCTCAAACAAATGAAAGCTCTAGCAATGATGCCCCTCAGCCACCAGCCATTCCTCAAAAACCTAGTCACTTGAAGGGAGCGGTTGAAGATGACAGTGAAAATCCTCCACCCCCACCACCAAGAACCTATGTAAATATCTAAAGCGTCTATAAGTACTACACAAATCTGCTCTGTTTACATTATAGTCTTATTTGATCCGATATTTTATAGTGTAAGCCTAACCCCTTTGCGTATATCGACTATTCGAGTCGGGGGACACGAGGGGGAACGACTACTAACAAGTCAGGTATCGTACTAACAAATTAACCACAAGTTTACAAATCTATCCATTGGCAATATTTTGTAAAACGAAGTAAATAATTTTATATAGTAGTAAGAAGTCCATCGCCGTATGACAATTTAAAAGAAGACAAAAATGAATGACAATGACCAAGGAAAATTTAACGGACTGAGTATGAGTACTTATTAATTGATAGCAATAATGTTTTTCTACCTTTATCATAAATATGTAGTAAGAATTGTGGTTTTGCATATGTATGTACATTTGACAAGTAAATAGCATTATAAATGCGTGTTTAAATAATACATCTAGTTGTAACTTAATATTGTATAAAGTTGTTATATTTGACATTGTTAACATGCATTTAAAATATGGTTAAGTATTAAATAGTTGTTAAAAAGCGAGTCAGTTATTCGACTATGAAGGACGCGCTGCAAAATATATTTAGAGTTTAGCAGTAATTATAAATTTATATGTAGTACGATTTGCTTTATTGATTCATGGTAATAAAGTATTAAATAAACATGTTATACAACTCTGATAATTGGAAGTACGATACATAATTAAACCAACCAAAATTCAGCCTGATTGAACCAAATTTGTTTTTTTCTCTGTGGTTTTCCTTGTGTTTTCCAATGTACATACAGTGTCAATTCATTGTCACGTCGTCACTTTATGAATACCGTATAAAGCGGAAACCGTTCATTTCAACGTAAATAGTTAATCCAACATTAGTCCGGCATCGCCCTTACCAATTTTTTCTAATGGACAGCCATTCGACACCTGTGCCCTCCTCAAGGCCAGCCCCACCGCCACGCCCGCCACGAAAATTGTCCTCCAAATCGGTATGCATTTTATTAAAACCTTTGTGAAACTCCTACATTACTTTTTACATAATTCAGGATTCAGATTCGCCAATAACACCGACCGCTGATCCTCCCGATAGTCCCGTTCTTCCGAATAAACCTCCTCGAAAACGTGAGGATATCACGACTTACAAGAGCATTAATTACATAATTATTTATCATAATCCAGCTGGACTTATGTCTTTTTCAGCAGAGGCAAAGAAGCACTCTTATGAAAACATTCAAGCAATGTCTGCAGTCACATCTTAGATCACTGGAATCGACTCGTGCATTTTACTGACTAGTTTTAATTGGAAATAAAAACACTAAAATATATTACATTCATCGTAACACAGTACTTTTTGAAGTTTTTGGAAATTATTTGCATAAATATTTTTAAAATCCTTAAAAAAATGCATGCATCGAACAAAGTGAAAGTTTAAGATATTTACCAACTTGCCCCATGCACGCGGTCCTTACAAAATCGCTTAATAAACCAACAAACATTGTTTTTGTTGGCTGTTTTAATAATTTTTGAAAAAGTTAATTTCAATTAAAAAATTAAAAGTATCAAATAATTAATATGGGTTGTGATGGTGGAACAATTCCCAAACGGGATGAGCTCGTTAAAACTAAGAAGAAACCAGAACAGGTAAAGTGTTTCAAAAATAGCATCTTCTGTGATTCTGTGAACTGTTGGAGATAACTAATTATGAATTGTTCTTGTGTTTATAGAAAGATAAAGCAGCCGAGTTATCTTTCCGGTGGCAACACTGCGCAATTACGCAGCAATCACTAACAGCGCCGATTGTTGCCTGCGAAATGGGACGTCTCTACTCGAAGGAATCAGTTATCGAAGCACTCTTGGACACCTCTGAAGAAAATGGATTAAAAGATGTAATACACTGATATAATAATAATACAAATATTGCAAAATTAGAATGTTTCTTACACGTTTTTATCGCATTTCTTCTAGGTTGCACCCCACGTGAAAAGCTTAAAGGACGTGAAAGAACTTGCTCTTACAGAAAATCCGTTGTGGGTGGATTTAGTCCGTGGCGAAACTGGGGATAGTTACATCGACGTGCAAAAAGCTAAATGGGTCTGTCCCGTCTCTGGAATGGAGATGAATGGTCGTTTCAGATTCTGCTATTTGTGGTCGTGTGGATGCGTGTTTAGCGAGAAAGCGCTTAAAGAGATGATGAAGGTGAAAGAGGAAGGAAATGAATGCCCAAAGTAAGTACATAAATCCTGCACTACTGCCCGGGTAGCTAGTTACTCTGCTAATCATTTTCAGTTTAAATTTATTGACTAATAATTTTATAATGTTCTAGATGTCTGAAAACATTCCAATTTCTCGACATCATCACCCTCAACCCAACTGAGGAAAGAGATATTGTCACCCTTCAAGAGAAAATGAGCCTTCGTCGAATTATAGCGAAAGACAAGAAGGAAGCAAAAAGAGCTGGAAGCAAGAAACGACTCGCTGTAACTGCAACAGCGACGAGTACTTCAGAATCAAATGGAGAATCTGCAATTTCCTCATCTTCAACCGCATCAGCAGTGACTAGCAATGGAAAATCTGCCCACCGCAAGAATGGAGATAATGATGATTCGCCATCCACTTCTAAAAAGTCGAAAATTATTCCACCCCCAAAACCCCCAACGGCCGCTGCTTCTACGTCAAAATTATTGAGCAAAGCTGGGACTTCGGCGTACAGCGTGGCAAAAGATCCAAATGCCAGTGAAGTCTACAAGTCCCTTTTTACAACGCATCAGTCTGAAGCAGATCAAGGTAGAGCCCACTGGGTCACATACAACCCTTTTTACAACTAAAAAAGTAATCCTCAAAGATTATTGTGAAAATTCGAAAATATCAGATTTAATTATAACGGATTTTAATTCTTGATACAAGTTAAGCATACTTTCTCCTAATCCTCTTACTCGACTGTTATTACGTTATAAATCGTATTAATTTGATAAATACTTGTTATTAGGTACGTTTCATCGCTACTATTTATTAATCGAATTGTCAACTCGAATATAAATAAAGTTTAATACTACAATTCATAAGTCTGACTTATCTATTAATTAAAACCTACAATGTAGCATCCAAGTCAATCTCTTTTTAGTTTTGAAACCAATGTGAAAACCAAAAAAACTTTGGATAATGTTTCAAATCTTAAGTCAATCTGTCATGTTTTTAACGTAAGTCCTGCTAGCTTGGGCTAAAAAAACTGTTTAAGTATTAACAGTTCTCCTTAACCCTGCAAATATCGAGGTTCCGCATGTCTTGTACGCAGTTCACCTTCATTTACCTTGACGGTGTTGCAGTTCATTATTTTGCGGCGAATCCATAAAGCTGGAATTTGATAGCCATCATTAAACGGCACAACCGCACGAATTATAATCAGTAAAATGTTTCATGTTCTATTGTTTTATTGTTATTCCTGATCTTTAACAAAAAAAAGTAGAAAGCAAACTATTGTTCCCATCAATCTTGTTTCTCCGGACCATTGAATAGGTTTCTTTCAAGAATTGGGTTTGCAATAAGTCATGCTGACGCGTTAATTTTTGCCTCTATCGTATCGTCCATACCATGTCCATACATATGATTTTCATCTAAAATCTCATCTAAACTGGTCTGAGTTTTTGATCCTGTAAATGATGTACCCGTATACATATGTACGTACTTGGGAAGAACGTTGGCTCAAACTGGATTACTCTGCAAAGTAATTCTTTTTTTGCTAAACCTAAAGCTAAATACTCCCAGTTCTAAAATGTATTAGTCATTCTTACAATTTGCGTATAGATATTTCGCACCACAGTTAATCAAGATAGAATCAGCAAGCTTAAATAGTTCATCAGATGTCATACATATCTCATAAAAAATTATTATCACAGCTTGAAACTTATTTTATTAAATACATTCTTAATCTTGCCAAGAGTTTTCCAAGAAGTACGAATTATTGCGACTTGTGGCAGCAAAAAACCGTTGCGGTCAGTTTTACTTGTAAACAGGGTAAAAAAGAAGGTCAATTTGATGTTAAGAAAGTCTAATTATGTGGAGATTATAAGATGCGATGTGATGAATCTTGCCATAATTTTGCAATTTTTGTTCCTTTTATGAAGTTTCATGGCACGGAAGCTGATATAATTTAGGATGATTTCGTGCAATATGAATGCAACAAGTTAAGAAATTAAGATTAAAAAATCTCATCCTCACCCTCACTCCTTGCACCTTAAAGTTTCATGGCACGGAAGCTGATATAATTTGGGATTCTTTCTTTAATGGTTTCATGCAAGTTAAGAAGAAATTGAGATAAAGCAATCTCCTACTCCTTTCGTCACATATCATTTAATTTATCCGTAAGTAGTTCCAGAACAAAGGAGTTTTGTCACGCTCCAATTTTTGCATATAAAGGCTGCATTTTTTAAATTCGGTGTTACATAATTTGTTGTCCTAATACCTAAGCTAATCAACTTCTTTTAATGGATAAAAATCTACACATAATACACAGCTAAACTACTACATATCTTATCTAAGCAATTAATCAATCGTATCGTATGTAAGTATTGACTCCAGTACAATTCGCCGAATTCTACCCCTCTACACGAAGCACCTGTCTTTTTCTTGATTGAAAACTGGTCTTGGAAAAATCTGATTTGATGACTCTTATATAACACCGACATGATTTTTTTGTCCATGAGCCAAGAATACCTATATCAAGTCAATTTCGTTATTTAATTGCTCGCAATTTTCTTTTGTAGATTGGATACCAGCACAAGTTTAGAATTAAAGCAACATTATTTCGCATGTGTAATTGTCATTTTGAAGAAAAAAGGATTTATTATATCATCAAATTGTCTTTCTCTGTTCCTCTCAAGATCTATTTCATCACGCGATAAATAAAATGACAAACATGGAATAAGACGACTTTTGTTCTACAAAGAAGTGTTAACATTAATACTTTTTTACCACGCATAATAAAATTAATCCGGTTATGTGGATTCTCTAATTATAGTAAAATGAGGATAAATGAAATGTGCTACAAGTACATGCACAGGTTTGTTTTCTTTCTATTCTATGGGTTTGTCATTGGTTTGGTACATTATCAAGTGTCCAATATCATGTAAATATTCATTTATTTTAATTTCATACTGCATCCAATTATTAGGAAGTGAAGTAAAATAGGTCAAAATTATTATTCTTTCAATTCGTCTTATCAAATAAAATTCGTGTTTCATTTGATACGAGTGTCATGTCCATGTGGGATGAGAAACTTGCAATTAATTAAATAACTACAAAAATATTCAGTTTGTAAATAATTATTTCGCTCCATCCATGCACACTTTTCTGTGTGAGGAATATCTTAAGTAGCATAAAAAGCTAGATTGACCACATTATTGTTTGTTTAATCGTTATATTCTGTAGCGAAAGTAAAAAAAAATGCAGTTTGTCATTGCATCCTGGATTTACTTAATTCCTTATTCCTGATCATCATCAGTCCAAAGGTTCATTTCATAAATACAATAACAGTTCACTTTGTAACTATTTGTACTTATTTACTACGCACAAAAGTCTGAAAACTACAACCACTTATTAAAAACTCGACCAGTTTCAAAAAAGTGCATGCGATGCAAATGCATAAACAACCGACAACAACAAAATACAAACCAAACAAACGTTTGACTCATGAAAACAATGCTATGAAATAATGCGTCGAAGAGGATCATGAGATCAACAATGTGTTGTTCTTTTAATCCAAAAACCAGCTTAAAAAGGCTAAAAAATTGATTCTTACCAGTAATTTTACTACATATGTACATACACATGTCGTCATAAGTGCTTCTTGTTTGGTATAAATGAAGCGAAAAGTGGTCATTTGACCACTGTTGACTCTGTTCGTTGTACATACACGCGATCGTACTCCACGCACAAAAGATTCTCTGCTAGATACTGTACCACCACACCACTTATTTCTACTTCATGTTTAGTAGTTTTGCACACATAGATTCACAGAGCTCTGTGCAAAAAGCTATCGCAAATAAATTGCAAATTCTTTGTGAAGTGAATGTTAGCGAGCTGAATGAACAAGAAGCACCCTTCCTACATTTCTTTCATAGTTTGATTATTAAACAAGGTAAATATCGTCATCGCCGTTCATTTTCATGATATTATTCTCATCTCGTCTCATCTATTGTACCGACGACGACGACGTCGACGGTGTGGCACTTCTCTCTCACATTTCTACCGTGTCGTATCAAGAAGAAGGAGGATAATTTATTTATTCCTCTCTTCTTCATCAGAATTTCTAAACCGTTTTTGCAACAAAAAGTTCCACGAGTTTTGTGAATATTAATAATTTTCCAGTGATGATGATAGTGTTCTTCAAGCCAAGTTCAATCTCATCACCTTGATCATATCCCTGCACATATTATTATTAGTGCCTAAAAAAGTGTGCATATAAAAAGTGGTCTTCTGACTCAAAGGTCAAATCACTTGGCCAAATATAATAGGTAAACAACCAAAATGCAATTTCCCCCAGCATCCGTCGCCTTCACGCAGCTTCTGAGTGCGATATGCATCATGATGGGATGCGAGCACAAGTATCCAGCCCCCGTTCAGAATATCGTGACCCCGCAATTATCAGCGTCAGCCTACAACACGGTGAACAGTCCGAGTTACATCGTCGTCAAAGAGGATGGTTCCACCTCCGAGGGAAAAATTGTGACACGACGGGGTCGCCTCGCAGGGAAAGGTCACCTTTTAAGGAATGATGACGACCTTAGTAATCAAATCGGAGATGGTGACGACCTGGACCAGGCTGACGATGATCACGTCATGTTGCCCCCAATCGTCGAAATACCAGGTCTTGGACGGGTTGAAGGGTATCACATGCGGGTCGTTAGTGGTCGACAGATTTACGCTTTTGAAGGAATTCCTTACGCACAAGCGCCCGTAACCAAGTTTAGATTTCAGGTGAGATGACGATGCCAAAATCAACACCAATAATTAATTAGGTGCTAAGGAATGGTTCATTGAAACCAAACTTTCTGTATACATGTTCGTCATGATTAAGCATGTCAATTTTGCAACTTGACTTTTATGACGTGCGAGTTGAGCTCATTTAATTGATCCACATTTTTTCTATATAGGCAACTGCTCCTCATCTGGGATGGAATGCCACTAAATTAGATGCTAAAGACCCTGGACCGCCTTGTATACAGTTGGTTTATGGAAGAATAAAGGGTTCGGAGGACTGTTTACGGTTAAATATTTACTCTCCAAAGGTATTTAACATGAATGATCTACATAAAAAAATGCAGGACTATAGTTTTTTTGCATAAAATCTCAGATTCCCAATGGAAAAACACAGCAAAAACATCCCGTCATCATCTTCATTCATGGAGGTATGAAAAAAAGAATTGTGACCAAAATTAGTGTCCAGTTTACAAAACTTTTAAACATTTTTAGGTCTATTTCTTGCTGGAGCGGGGTCAAATTTCGGTCCTGCATATCTCCTCAGAGAAAACGTAATTCTAGTCACATTCAACTACAGGTGAGACAATTGACAAGTAAAACAGCTTAATTGTTGCATTGTTAAATACACAGCAATAATCATTTTTCTTTTTTCCCACGACTCATGAGAACGTAGTAATAAACTAAATAAACCTTTATTATTTCCTTGTCCTCGTTTACAGGTTGGGAATTATGGGTATGCACCATTCCACAATTAAAGCACATTGTTAACATTGAACATCCATGCGACATAAATTTAATTGATTGCCTGCTCTATTTTCAGGAGCGTTTTCTACGGGGGATTCTGCAGCGTCGGGAAACTGGGGGTTAAAGGATCAAGCTTTTGCGATCAATTGGGTACATATTATTTGTATATGTAGAACAACCCAATTAAAAAAAATGCTATTTATTTCACACATTAAATCCACATTTAAGGTGCACAAGCACATCTCTTCCTTCGGAGGTGACCCTGACCATTTGGTAATAATGGGTCAATCCGCCGGCGGAGTGTGTGCCCACCTTCAAATGATGTCCCCATTAGCGAGGGACAAGTTACGAGCAGCCATAACCATTTCCGGTGGCGCTTATAATTTTTGGGGTATGAATTTCTCGAATATCTTGCGATAATGACCTCATAAATTAGAATAACGTGTTTACTGTTTAACGATCAGGTCTCAACAGTCTCGACCAAGGTCTCAGTGCGAGTCGAAGTAGTGCCCGATTTGCTCGATGTTCCCCCAATCAAGCGTCCCCCGCATTGTTGGCCTGCATGCAAAACGCATCCGCCGAAGTGCTCGTGGCCAACCAGATATTCACGTTCGGCTCTGCCCTCCCCGTCCCCATGATTGAGCCCCCCGTGCCGGGAGCATTTCTGTCCGAAACTCCAGACTCTGCTTATCAAAAGGGTCACGTGGCGAGGATTCCTCTCATAACGACCGTCACTTCGGAGGAAATCAATGCCTACATTGCAGAGATAACGGGACGTGGTGGGATACGAATCCTGAATGGGTAAATATTTTTGGGATAATAAAAGAATAAACTGGTAAATTACCACTTAATTTTTTTTGAAGATTATTTGACGTCGATGCTGCCAGCCTGTTGGGGCTTCGAGGAAGAATTCCATCCACCTCAGAGCGCAGCACGGTTAACAAGATTAGAAGCTATTATGGAATTAGTGGACGACGAGTTTTAATCCCTAGGCAATTATTTACACAAGTTCGTACATAATAATCATGAGTCATATTTTGTGGTAAAGGTTTGACGTAATGTTTTTCTAACTAGGTTGGGAACGCGAGATATTTCACGGTACCATTTCACCGTAGCGTCCAAATGCACTCCCAATTGGCACCGACATATGCTGGGATTTTTAATTACACCAATAACCCAATTGGACGAGCTGAAAGGTTGGGAATAGACCCGAAAGAATTTGGTGAGTTTGAAATATATCACCAAATATTATAACACTTTAATAATTACTTGGCGAATTTACAGGTGTGAGTCACACGGACGACTTGATTTTCGTCCTAAATAGTACAAACAAACCCCCAATCACGGAAAACCATTACGGTTTCGCTGTTACTAAACTGATTACAAATATGTATGCAAATTTTGGGAAGTCGAAGTGAGGAAATTTATTATCAACGAACGTTGTAAATATTTTGAAATTTCATAATAATACAAATATTAAACTTTCTAGCATCCCCTCGTTCACCGGAGAAGACGGAAACTTATACAATTTCTGGGACAGTGTCATAAATCCAGAAAATTTTCAAATTCTTCAAATAGACGAAGAAGTGAAAATGATTGATAATCCTTACACAAAATCCGCCAAATTTTGGGAATCTTTACATATTCCAGATATGAAGCAGTTTATAAAACTGTCAGTAAAAAAATCTTCATAAAAAAACATACCTAGCATTCAAGACTGTTACATTATGATATGATCTCATTTATAACTTTGTATCATTATTATTGCTAACTAACTGAGCAATTCAATGCAATAAAATAAATATCAATAAAATATGCAAATTACAATTTCTCTGCAAAAAATAATCTGCACATCGAAACTCCGCTAATGTTTTTGTTTATAGCTTTTCTGAGAACTGCATAAAACCAGGTTTAGTTAGAGTGGAGGGATGCATGTCAATGGCAGAAATACCTGAGATCAATTACCGACTAAACATAATATATCACTTTTATTTAAGTAAATAATGGACAATTTAATTAATTTGGTATCCAATAATTTTAAATATTTTAATTGTTTTGTCGAAATTTTGCTACTTACGCCCCTGAACAACTCCATCACCATCATTTTCTGGCGTCCACTTCCAAATCTGCTCTCCGCTTCCCTGTATTGGTTTAATCCTCGGTTTAAACGTAAAAACAGTTACATTTTTAATTAAAAATTAAAAAATATCTTTAATAAAATTATAATTTAAAAATATAATAATTTTAGTCAAGAGTTGAAGAAGTGGGGAGTGAGTCACCAATTTGTTAAAGGGCTTGACCATTGTTAAGTATTTTAACAAGTTATAGTCTTAATTTTGAAATGAAGAAGAATGATTAAGTTTTAGCAATTTATTTACTTTAATTAATTCGCCTTTTGACGACGGGGTTATACTAAAGTTTTTTCTAAAGTGGGACATTCTTTGTTTTACGATGAGTTTTACAAGCGACGAAGTTAACTTTTTAGTGTACCGGTATCTCCAAGAATCTGGTAATTTTTGACAGTTTGCTGTTTAATGATTCAAATATAAATTGTAGTTAAACGATCGGGTTTTGCGATTTTTAGTGATAATTGCTTATTAAAATTATACTTGCAGGTTTCCAGCATTCCGCATACACATTTGGGATAGAATCACATATTTCTCAGTCCAACATAAATGGAGCCCTTGGTATGTATAATTCAAAGTTAGGTTATTTTTGGTTGATGACGTTAATTTAAAACTGTTTGCCCTTGTATGTAGTTCCTCCGGCAGCACTACTTTCAATTATCCAGAAAGGGCTTCAATATACCGAAGCGGAGATCTCAATCGGGGAGGATGGTTCAGAACGAATGATTGAATCGCTTTCCCTTATCGACGCTGTGATGCCGGATGTCGTCGCATCCAGGCAGAAGGAGGCAGATCGTCAAAAATCAAAGAATGAAGAAGGAAACAATAACAGTGAAGAGAATGCTGTAAAGCACGCGTCATATTGTAAGAATTTTAACTAAATAAGTGCTAATTTAAAAAGTAAATAGATAGTCTGATTGATAAGGTGATGTTTAATTGATATAGCAAATGTCGGAGGCTCTGAAGGAAATAATGAAATCGACTCGGCCATTGAAATTCCTGCGAGTAAAGCAACTGTTCTTAGAGGACATGAGTCTGAGGTGTTTATCTGTGCGTGGAATCCCACAACAGATTTGTTAGCGTCTGGGTAATCAAATAAATCTACCTATTTGCAATATCTTTATCACAAAGTGAACATGTTTAAATAATAAGTTGCAAACAATTCAACACGATGTAAAAATTATTGCACAGATCTGGAGATTCCACTGCTCGTATTTGGAACATGACAGATAGCTCGGCCGCCACCACTGGAAACCAACTAGTGTTGCGACATTGCATTCAAAAGGGTGGAACAGAAGTTCCTTCAAATAAAGATGTCACCTCATTGGATTGGAATTGCGATGGAACCCTCCTCGCGACAGGATCGTATGATGGTTACGCCCGAATTTGGACGACGGAAGGAAGGCTAGCGTCCACTTTGGGACAACATAAAGGGCCAATCTTTGCTTTAAAATGGAACAAGAGAGGAAACTACATACTTTCTGCTGGAGTTGATAAAACAACGATTATTTGGGATGCTGCGTGAGTATAATAGAAGATTTTTTGGAGGAGTTACAGCCCATTTGTTTGAGTTTGCTTATTTGATTATGAATCTACTTATTTTCAGATCGGGCCAATGTACCCAACAGTTTGCTTTCCATTCTGCTCCAGCTTTAGATGTGGACTGGCAGTCGAACACGTCATTCGCGTCGTGTTCTACGGATCAGTGTATTCATGTTTGTAAACTAGGAATGGATAAGCCCATAAAATCCTTCCAGGGTCATACGAATGAAGTTAATGCGATCAAGTGGGACCCCCAAGGAAAATTATTGGCTTCATGCTCTGACGATATGACATTAAAGGTGAATAAAAATTATCTGTGCGTAGCGCTCAATTGCTAATTTTGTTGCTTGTTTTCCAGATTTGGTCAATGACACAGGATGGTTGCGTCCATGATCTGCAGGCCCATTCCAAGGAAATTTATACTATTAAATGGTCACCGACCGGTCCAGGAACAGCAAACCCGAATATGAACTTAATCCTGGCCAGCGCCTCATTTGATTCAACCGTTAGATTATGGGATGTCGAGCGTGGCAACTGCATTCACAAATTGACCAAGCACACCGAACCGGTGTACTCAGTTGCCTTTTCACCAGACGGGACATTGCTAGCATCTGGCAGCTTTGATAAATGTGTTCATATTTGGAGTACCCAGACTGGACAACTAGTCCACAGTTACAAAGGAACTGGTGGAATATTCGAAGTGTGCTGGAATTCTCGTGGAGATAAGGTCGGAGCATCCGCATCCGATGGCTCCGTATTTGTCTTGGACTTGCGAAAAATCTAAAACATTTGCATCAAGTTGACTGTTTTTATAAAACTTTTTGAAACATTAAAGTGTATCCCATCATACCACGTAGTGATCATCTTTAGCGGATTATTCCCCATTAACTAAATTACAAACTTGTGGAAATTCCAATTCACTTGGTGCAACGTTTTCTAATTTAATTGTATCTTTAGAATAATAATAATCCTAATTCAGAATAGTTTAAAAGTGTTTAGTTAAATTAAATCTGATCGCACCAAATAACTTGGTGACTAAACTGTTATAATACCATAACTCGTAAAAATAAGTAAATTATGTAATCATATATGCACGTATCGTTTTATGTATTATTAATTAGTTTCGTTTTAATGCATCTTATCATTTTCATATGAACAGTGCACTAATATTGTGGCTCCTAAGTTAGAAAAATATTGTGAACTAAACTAATATATTATCCTGAATGATACACTTGTGAAAATATAATGATAGTGACAATCTTCAATTAATTATCTCTTGCATTGTTGTGAATGCCTGATTTTTCTAAGGGCGACAATATTTTAATTGCGTTAGCACATATTTAGAGACTAGATATTATTGCATAATATCCTGCATATGTGTGTGTGAGTGTAAGTAATTTGGGTGAAATGGTATGGGTTGATTTTACTATTTGAAATGTCTACTATTTAACTAATTAAATATATAATAAATGTTCCAATTTTAAATAACTTGACATTTTTGACTTTTAATTACACTTGATAAGAATGCATACATTGTTTCATGATTAAGTCTTTAAGCGCAACGAAGACCGTCTGGAGTTGGGGAAAATCCTGAAGAACATTTACAGACTCGGAGAACTGGTTCGCAATATGCGTTTGCAGTACAGTCCGGATAAACCTGCAAAAAATTCATGTAATTTCAATTAAAATAAATATTTTTCAACGGCATCAAGAAATACAGATTAATGACCATTTCTTTACCTGGCAAGATTTTTCCACAAATCCGACACACTTTTGTCGAGTGGTATCGAATTCTCCGTCCAAAATGTATACACCGCCGGACCCACAGTTCCTCCTGCATTGACAACGACCCAGGTCGACATCGACGCCCACTTGGCACACCTCCCCGCCTACCGTCTCGTTTCGAGTACGAGACATGCAAAGTACCGTTTCTGAGTAACGATTACATTGCAGTAAGAGACCGTTGCACAATTCCCCATAGTCCGCCCCGTAGACAGTCGCTGTCGCCATCAGGGCGACGAAAATGATAGAAAATCCTCTCATTTTATGTAAAAGGGGGTGGTTTGACTTTTTGGGGAAGATGAGGAAATGGAGAACAATTGTCGAGGTCGGAGACTGGTGTGATCAATTTGAGCATTTGGTCACACGATTTCAAGTAATGATAACTCTTAATTGAAAAGTTGGATTTTCCAGATAATTCGGTCCGATAAGCCACTCGTGTACGTGCAAGAGAACTCATCTTGGACATTGAAACGGCTTATCAAAAAGTTACGTAAATGCTCTACATCATAAGCTCGGATCATTGAGTTCGTAAATGCATAAAAATTAAGGACATTGACATAACGTCATAAATTCAATCTCGTCTCAATTTGCCTCTATTTAGTCGTCATTTTATTGATACATCGGAACCCCAATACATTCTGACATTGTTACCAGCTCAAACCCTTGCCCCACCATGAATTCAATTGCAGTCGCAGCCAAATTCACTGCACCTCCTTGAACGTCGTGATGAAGTGCGATATAATTATGATGCAGAGTCGAGTTGATGGCAGAATAGTATTCTTCCATCCCGGCCTCGGTGTCGCCCGGGTGTGACCAGTCCCAACTGTAAAATTCCAGAATTTGAATATAACCCAAAATTTTACGTTGGAACAGCACTATGAATGCAACTCTAATTAAAACCAACGTGTCGATATTCCACATGATGACTTCATAGTTAAATTCCTCCTTCGCGACCCGAACCAGTTTCTGGTTATATTCGCCGTACGGTGGTCGGAAGATGGTGGGACGGACGCCGATCGTGCCATAAATCAAGGTCTCCACGCCAGAAAGTTCGGAGCGTATCTCGTCCTCAGTAATGTTCCGCATGTCGGGGTGAGACCAGCCGTGATTCCCGATTTGATGACCCTAACACAGATTAGTTATGTTAATAAAAGTACATAGATCAGTTAGTAAATTATTTATGCAAATATGTAATTAGTACTTCTCTATAGGCTCTCCGGACAGATTGTTGATATCTTTCGTAATCTGCTTCCCAAATTCCAACCCCAATGAGGAAAAAGGTAGCGGTGACATTGTAGGATAGGAGGAGATCCAAAACTTGTGCAGTTTGAGTGGGGTGTGGGCCATCATCTGTAAAAGATAAGAATGGGTTATCATACATAAATGTAATTAGGTTCTTAGAATTCTATTATTTACCAAATGTTAATGCATACTGGTTGGGAAGAGTGCAATTATACCAAACTTTGAGATCTTGCCCGGAAATGGATGAGACTGAAAGTACCAGAATGATAAACGCCAAAGAATCTTGAGCTGTTGCCATTTTGCTATTATTGGCAACTTACTGCACAACTTGCATGTAACAAATTAATTCTGTTAGTGCCTGACAAAAGTTATTTTATACCTCATGCCTGACCTCCAAATAATTATCCACTAATTACAAAGTGAAAATATTTACCAATTCATCAAGTTGTCCATAAGTTAATCCATATATCTTGATAAGTTTCACGTGTATGTGATGTGATATGCATTATTTGCAAAGGGTAATCAATCAGTCAAAATAATATACAAATCAGATTTCAAGAATTATATTTAATCTGTGATGCTGTAACATAACGAAATGCTAAATATGATGACTAAATACCGATTCATAACTGTAACAAATCATACATATTCATCTACTTTTTAATCAGACTTAAGTATTTGCATATGCAACAATTAAAGTTAACCGTATTAGTGTGATAAGTAGATTAAGATCGTAACTTATTGGTGTAACTGTCCAATCGAAAAAAAATCCAATCGGAATCGAAATCGCCCACTTGCTACTAACCTCGTATCATTGAGTTTGTAAATGCATAAATTAAGGACATGGACATAAATTCCTCGTCTCAATTTGCCTCAATTTTTGTCATAATTTTATTGATACATCGGAACCCCAATACATTCTGACACCGTTACCAAGTCGAACCCTTGCCCGACCATGAATTCAATTGCAGCTGCAGCCAAATTCACGGCCCCCCCTTGAACGTCGTGATGAAGTGCGATATAATTTTGGTGCAGACTCGAGTTGACGGCAGCATAATATTCTTCCATCCCGGCCTCGGTGTCGCCAGGGTGTGCCCAGTCCTGTTATATTCACCCCAATGAACTGTGTGTAAAATTGAATTTAAGGTTTAAATTTACCCCCGTGTCGATATTCCACATGATGAGTTCATAGTTAAATTCATCCTTCGCGATGCGAATCAATCTGTCGTTATATCCACCGAATGGTGGTCGGAAGATGGTGGGACGGACGCCGATCGTTCCGTAAATCAAGGTCTCCACTCCAGAAAGTTCGGAGCGGATTTCGGCCTCCGTAATGTCCCTCATGTCGAGATGGGACCAGCCGTGATTCCCAATTTGATGACCCTAATTTAACCCAGATTAATTACGTATGTTATGAAAATAAATAGATCAGTTAGTAAATTATGCAAATACATAATTTTAGTACTTCTCTATAGGCTCTCCGTACAGATTGTTGATATCTTTCGTAATCTGCTTCCCAAGCTCCAACGCCAATGAAGAAAAAGGTAGCGGTGACATTGTAGGATAAAAGGAGATCCAAAACTTGTGCAGTTTGAGATGGGTGTGGGCCATCGTCTGAAAAAGATAAGAATGGGTTATCAGTCGTGAATGTAATTTGGATCTTAGAATTATGCATGTACAAAATTTTGTATGTATTTACCAAACGTTAGTGCATACTGGTTGGGAAGGATGCAATTATACCAAACTTGCCCGGAAATGGATGAGACGGAAAGTACCAGAATGATAAACGCCAAAAAACCTTGAGATTTTACCATTTTGTTTAATGCTAATATTTGCAATTAACTGCACAATTTGCACACAACAAAATAACTCTGTTTTAGTCTCTGACAAAAGTTATTTTATATCTCATGACTGACCTCTAAATAATTATCCGCAAATTGCAACGTGAAAATATTTATCAATTCATCAAATTGTGCCTAATTTAATCCACATATTTTGATAAGCTTCACGTGTATGTGATGTGATATGCATTATTTGCAAAGGGTAATCAATCAGTCAAAATAATACAAAAATCAGATTTCAAGAATTACATTTAATCTGTGCTGTAATGAAATGCTATGATGACTAAATACCGAATCATAACTTTAACAAATCATACATATTTATCTATTTTTTAATCAAAAATAATAACTTATAATAAGTAGATTGTAACTTATTGTTGTAGCTGTCGAATCGAAAATGGTAAGTTGTACTTTTGTCGTCATTTATAGATAATTATAACAAATTCTAATTTTACTAACAATTCTTTATATTTGAGCATCACAGTAGGTTGACAAGTGTGCTTCGCTGGAAGATGCCGTTCAAAATGTTATAAATACATATGTTAATTACGTATGCAGATTAATTATGCTATAACAGGATTTTGTGCGTATAGTAAATTTAGAAGACAATTCACTGACAAAATTACAAGTACCCTTCACCATGAAATCTCTTACTCTTAAAAATGGTGTGTATCATGTCCCGTAATTGATAATAGATATTTGGTATCCAAGAACAGATACTAAATTTCCGAAGAAATCAAAGTCAAGTGAAGACATTAAGCAACAGATTCAAATATAGATTTCTAGAGCACAGAGAGAAGAGAAAGTTGTGTGAGATCATAAATTAATAGATTTCTAAGCTTTCACAGTTTTCCCAACTTTCTTCTTGTTATCCGTGTCAGCCAATTTTTGCTTCTTTCCATTGGGACCTTCGCTCATTGGGTCGTCAATTAATTTTTTCCGTTCGGTCGAACTTGCGTCCTTTGCGGAGGAGAGCTCAGTGGGCAAAATTAACTGCGAAAAAGTTTTCATAAATTCTGGACCAATTAAAAGTTAAAAATAAGTAGACTTACCTCGGATTGTTTCAATTCGGTGAGAACTTCGTCTAGCACGGAGACGAATCGGTCAGCATTATCTTGATTAAACACGAGTGGTGGTTTCATTTTCAACACATTTCGATAAGGTCCATCTGCGCTCAGGAGGATGTACTCGTCTTTCATGCGAGAAATTACGTGTTGCGCTTCGGCAGTGGCTGGTTCTCGAGTTTCACGATCTCGAACCAAGTCGATCCCCACGAATAGACCGATGCCACGAATGTCACCTGACAGATCAAAGAAAACATTATGTAAATTCCGATAAGGAATGTGTCCCAAATATTTAAAAAATATATACCAATTATCGGATGCTTGTCCATCAACTTGGTCAGCGAATTGACCAAATAGTTCCCTACCCGGGTGGACTTCTCCCGAAGTCCATCCTTTTCAATGGCGTCCATTACCTGAAAAATCATGATTCAACTGAAAGGTGAAGTTTGAATAAAAGTTAACAAAAATACAGAATTTACAAAACCACTTACGGCAATAGCAATCGCGCAAGAAACGGGATTTCCTCCATACTGCAAATTGAGTATTATTATTAACGACGATTCAATTTTGTGTGCACTGGACTTGCAGACTTGGAAATATAAAGAAATCATACCGTGTTAAAATATTCGATACCAGTGTTTGCAAAACTTTGAGCGATTTCCTGCGTTGTAATGACCGCGGCAACGGGATGACCTGCAAATCACATAACTATGTTGAACTTTGAACAACATATTGATACATCTTAAATGATAACTGCATACCATTTCCAATTGGTTTTCCCAACGTGACAATGTCCGGAACGACATCCTCCCCTTGAAGTTGGAAAGCCCAGTAATGCTTTCCCACTCGGCCAAACCCAACTTGAACTTCGTCAGCTATGCAAACACCGCCAGCGTCGCGGACATGTCTGTAAAATTCAATTTATCAATCAAATAGAGTGATAAATTTTTATTGTTTTTTCTACTCACTTGTAAACATTCCTCAAGTATCCGGGTGGCAAAATGACCTGACCACCACAACTTTGAAGACTTTCTGCAATAAATCCAGCAATATGACGGCCACCAGCGGTGACCTCTGCAATCATTGACTTGACATCGTCTGAGTACTTTTTGCCAAGTTCTTCTACTGTAAATTCGTTGTCCCTGTATTTGCCTCTGTATGAATCTGGACACGCAGCCTGTCAAAAAGTAGTCAAAATATGCAAAAGATCAAAACACATGCAATAATTTTTGCAAGCACTTTTCCTTCAAGTAAAATAAATCTCACTCACAACATGAATATGTTCAGGTTTACCACCACCTCCCGGCATGTTGAATTTATATGGCGAAATTTCAATTAATGATGTCACATGACCGTGATAAGCACTGCAAATAAATTAACAAACAGTCAATAAGTAAAGAATTAATTCACATCATTGACATCTTGTTGGCATTCATTCGCATAAAAATGCGTGAAATTTTTGGCAACGATTTCCAAAAAAAACCTTCGAATTTTGTTGTATGCAAGTGATCAAAGTTCATTCAGAGATGAGTCGAAGGTCATAAAAAAGTGTAAAATATGCAGTGATAAAAAGGAAAGATAATACATTTTGACACACTGAGGAAAATCTGTCAAAAAGTGTAGAACATTTCACAGCACATCACATGCAAAGATTGTCACAAAAGGATACATACATAACCAGATATGACGAATTAGCTGTAATTGAGCAACAATTTATCCCGATAAGAAAATACATGTGGCTTAAATGCTTTCAAATTGCATAATGAATACATACACATGCGAAGCAAATCCATTGGCCTCTCATTCTCAAGATCATTTTATGAATTTTATCAGAAACTAAATACACAAGAAGTACACGTAAAGTGTAAAGTAATAAAATGTGAGATTGATTTGGCCAACACTCGTAACCTGCCTTAACCTGCTTCATTAAATGAAGTTCATTTCATGCGCTATCAATCCGAAAAAATCTGGTCATTTGCAAGGACTTGCTCATAATAATGAGACTTGATTGAAATATAGAAATATATTTTAAAATAATTTATGCAAATATGTACAAACTCACTGATCCAATGTGATGATGTCGTGATGCTTGGTGTGAGCCCGAGCCAGTCGAAGTGCCAAATCATTCGCTTCTGATCCAGAATTGACGAAGAAGCAGACGGAAAGTTGGGGTGGAAAGAGGTCAGTCAATCGTTGAGCACAGATAACCAAGTTATCATGAAGAAATCTTGAGTTTGTGTTCAGCAGGGACATTTGAGTCGCTCCAGCCTGGACCACGGCGGGGTGGCAGTGTCCGACTGGTTAAAAGATTTTGCATGCAAAAAATAAGTTTCCCATAAATTTCTCATAAATTTCCCGTCTTTGTGGTGCATACCATGAGCCACATTGTTGATACAATCCAAATATGAGCGATCCTTTTCATCGTACATGTATTGCCCTTCAGCTCGGACAATTTTTATGGGGTCGCTTTTAAAGAAGAGTTTACAAGATGGCCTAAAAAAATGGAGAAATCAATTGAAAATTAATTGCATTATGCATTAAAAATCGATATTTAGCACCGAGAAAGTGTGGAAGTGACATATTGCATGGAAAGCTTAACAATGTTAATTGGAAAATGTCGTGACTGGATTCATGTTCTTAATAATTAAGGAGAGTGTGGCATGAAATTGACATAATAAAAACCTACAGTCAATTAGTGCAGACTTGACATAGTCATTTTCTCGGACTAAAAATTTAAAATTCTCATTCTATCTTCAAACGTGGGTTGAAAATTGTCACGCTATTATTGAATTTTCATAAAAAAATCAATACTGCATAAATAAATTACTTACCCAATATGCCTTTTGCGAAGACGGACAGTATCAGATTTAGGAAGAGCTTCCATTTTTTATTGAAAAGTTATAATTAGATTGGTAATTAAACCGAAGCACTTTATGGTATTTTGTAAATATCACTGTTTAAATTGACGAATTAGCTAGTCTTATTATTTTTTGGGTATTAAGTAATTACAAATTTCACTTTTTGCTCTGATGATGACAACTTTTTGACTACGTGACCCGTTGACAAAATTATGTAAGTATACGAAAAAGAATAAATTAGCACCCGATTTACTATGATATGTAATTATTGGAACGCCAAATCCGACTGCTGAAACGTGACTGATCAAAGAATTTCATGCGGCTTGATGTTTTATGACATTTCAGCCAATCCTCTCCTCACTTATCAAGTGGTACAATCAATTTTTATAATTTGGTCTCTGGACTCTGTATTTAATTTGGTTAGGATTAGCTTAATATTGACTAGCCGAACTTTTATCTATTTATGGAGGGTTTCTATTTAGTTATGTATATCACACATAAGTGTTAAGTATTAGCACTTGAGCCGTGTAATCGCTAATCCTCTCAACCTTTTTAGCTGGCTTAACCAAGTGGCTTATCTCAATTCAACAACCCTTTCCCCAAGATTATAATCAACTCTATGGAAAGTTAACGGCCTATAATAAGGTATAATCTGCTACAAATATCTCTTCCTTCATGCTGGTGGCTGTGTTATTATTATGCCATGCTTACCCAAGACTACTACGGCTCAATGTTTGCGAGAACATACTTATTCAGTTTTTGCGAACAAGTCGGGTTATTCGCTTTAAGCGAATTCGGTGGGAGAAAAGTCGATCGTGCAGTTCCGAGCTTTGCATGCCCTTGTTCCATCCATGGAATACGGCGTTATGAAATTCTGCAGACCGAATAATACATAATTTTCACATGTTAAATAACTCCATACTACATAACTATCTGACCTATCTTTGTGACCTATCTTTGTCTATCTTTGTAACATCAATGTCTGGAAAGAAAGTTACAAAATGACGACCAATTCCACATTAATATGCATTCTATTACTTATCTTGAACTTTAAATGACAACAATGAAATTATTTATGAAACATGTAAAAAATGGTGACTAATCATAAATAGGATTATTTTGTGTGTACTTTCCACTTAAAAAAACCAACAAAGGAATCAACAAAACTCAAATTGAGATAAAAAATAGAATTGAATGGATTATGCGTCACAAGTAAAATTCGGAGAAGAATGGAAATATTTAAGGTTAAAAATACCTTGTATGCCGTACAGAAATCTTAAAATAATGAGTGAAATTTGTCCTGAACCGAAAAAAACTGGGTGCGGCCCGAGCAGAAACCACTCCCAATTTATGGAACACTTTTTCCTCTACTGCATCGTCTGCCGATGCAGCAGTAAAAGTGGCTCATTTCATACCGTAGGCTTACTTTTATACCCAAAAATCCTTTAATTGAAGCGATTTCTTTTCCGATTTAAATAAATTGATATGCAATTGCAAAAATTGAAGTGATTGAACCTTGGGGATGAATTTATAAGGATAAATTTGGAATAGATTAGTATACTCTTCTCATGTGTCAATCTTGTAATAATTTTGCCCTCGATTCAGTTCATTTACAGTAGGCAAATGTTTTCCAACAACTTTAACATAACGGATTTTTTAAGAAATTCATTTAAAATTATAATCAAACCACTTAATGCAGTATTCTTTTGGGTAGAGTCAAATGCCTTGGGATTCAATCAATGAAATTCGATTTCGCAATCCACAAAATTCAGACAACTCAAGGATTTCTGGTGATTTGATGCATAAGGAAAATTCTTCCGAGATTCGACATACGTATGTTTGTCCATAGGATGAAAAACAATAGATATTTTGAATTTGCTTGATTTTTATGGACATGCCATCAAATCAAGTAATACTTTTTCTTTACATGTGACATTATTTATCTGACATGAAACGAACATGAGATGAACATGCACACCCATGAGTCAAATTTGTGACTTTGTATTTATTTATTGAGACAAATGCATGCATATCATGTCAGGATTTGACACTGGTCACAGTGGTCACTCAATATCCTCATAGTATGTTTGATTTGTAGTAATAAACTACAACCACGCTGTACGTCAGTGTACGTATGTAATTCTCATCATGAGAAAAAGGGTGGGTGAGACTTATCTATCTCCGGAATGCTGTTTGTTTGTTTTCATTGACGATTGCTTTTGGATGTTTTGCTGGAGGTTATTCATTTCAGTTCCGCCCAGGGTGATGATGATAAGTAGGGTTAACAATAATATCAATCGCGTCAGGGATTTCACTCCATGAAAGTTTTAGCACAATTAAACCAGTCAGTCTGAACGCGTGAAATATATCATTCATATAATGAAGGAAATTATTACATAATTTGCATGAATGAATGCCGAATATGTTACAAATCATTAAATCAATAGTATTTGCTATACCACCGATTGGTCAAAGTTTATTGGGTAGTAGCGTTATCTAATCTTTAACAAAATTATGTTATGTATGGACAAAATTACATTAGATAGCAAAACAACCAAATAATTAAATTTACAGATATTTTTAACATCAAAATAATACTTCCTATTGAATGTACCCCGTGTTTAAGGAAATAAGTACGTGGGTCTGAAGGCGGACCTTTTGGGGTCCAGGGGAAGACTTGTTTTCAAGAGCAACTATGGTATTAACGTAATCATACTCGATAGTAATGCCGAGAACGGGTTCTTCTTCCGGGTTGGAATTCTGGTCTCGTACAATGTCCAGACAGACCGTTGCCTTATTAGCTTTTCGCCACGGGACGAGTTTCGGGTCATCGTTAAAGTCTGGAGTGTCGGCGTAGTCGTCGACAAAGTCAGATGTCTCATCCTTCGGGGGCAACACTACTTCCGCCTCCGGTACGACAACGAGTCTGCAGTTATTGACAAATTTTTCATTCCTTATCGGGAGGACGTGAACTTCCTTCATCATTTGAGATGATGATGAACTCTCACTCGGAAGAGCAGAACGTCCCCCATGCGATGGGCTGGCTATGATTGTAATGGATGTCGAAGGACTGCTAATATTTGATGGGAGTGAGACATCCGTTGATGATTCTCTTGCTGGGTCAACTTTTACATCCAGAGCGCCCATTTGTGACGATAAGTCATCCTTGCTTAAAGGCACGAATGCAAATGGGAGAAATTTAATCGAAGTTGGAAATTGGGTTGGATTTGACAGTTTTAATAAAATAGTAGCTGTCCCTCCAGGATTTAATGGTTGTGATAGTGGGGCAGCCATTCGGACTTGAACGACGTGGTAGAAGGCATTCAGTTGAATTTTAAACTTGACAGATACAGGAGAATATTCAGGTTTGCTAATATTTCTTTCACAAACACGACATCGCAACCTACGAAGGAGCATAAAATATTAAATTTGCTTAGATAAAAATTAGTTACATTAAATTGTATATGAATTTCTTACGATCTTTTAATAAGTAGCTGCTTATGAGTCGGTAAAAGTGCGGAAGTTTCGTGTGGTTGTGTTTCCAATTGATGCAAACGTTGCTCCAAACTTGTTACTGACAAATAAACAGTCAAGTAAATTTTAAAATTATATTTTGGCTAACATAATGCATAAAAGAGTTATTGTGTATGGCACTACCTTTCGGAACATTTATTTCCTCTTCAAAAAACTTGTCCGAAAGTTCCTGAAATTCATCGTCTCCTTTCGTGGGTGCTACATATTCAGGAGGAGGAATTGGCTTATACATTTCGTCCGGAGTAGAGATTGGATATCTCTTCGGGAGGAGATGTGCTAGTCCATGGCGTCCCTGCACATATAGAAATACATATCGAATTTATTTATTGATTTATTTTTGAGAACTCATTATCAGTAAAACAGTGGGAGGCTACAGTGCTAGAGAGGCGACAGTGGGAGGTTACAGTGGATTGAGAGGCTACAATGGGTGAGGAGGCGACAATGATGAGGAGGCGACAATGATGAGGAGGCGACAATGATGAGGAGGCGACAATGGGTGAGGAGGCGACAATGGATGAGGAGGCGACAATGGTAGAGAGGCGACAGCAATCTGTGGACTTACCGCAGCCAAATATTTGCTTTTATGCACAAATTTCTTCTCTTTCGAATTCTTCTCCCGTAAGGCCAACACTCTCAGATAGTCATGCATGTGCACAATTTCCTTTGAAAAAGGGGACTCTGGTTCCTGCCAAGTTCCTGATGTGCTTGGCGAATCTGGCAGACCTGCGTCACGAGAAGTCCAGCGACAAAATCCACACGCAAGATAGTACAACTTCTGGACTGCCAATTTAGCCGGATCTGCCTCCGAAGGTATTTGAATTGTTGTTGCCCGAATAGTAAGAGTTTGTCTACAACTTGGACAATCATAGCAAGTCCCACATCTAAAATTATAAATTACAAATTAGAAAAAATTGGTGTATTAAATTAATTTCTGGACTAAGTTCGGTTATATCATACCGGTTTTTCTTTTGTTTCGCTTCCGCCGACGGCATATTTTCAGAGCAATTTCCACAATAATGAGAATCTACTTCATGCGAGACACAATACGGACATCGAAGACGTAGACAATGTCGGCAAAAGTAGATTGAACAAATTGGTTTTAAACTGCCACAACAGCAAATATACTTCGCCCCTTCCAACTGCTGTACATGCGCCATGGTCAGACCTCAGATATATAGAAATCTGAAAATATCATTTAATTTGTATTACATATTTTAATGATGAATTGCAAGAATTTAACATCAAATAAAATAAAAATAATAAGATCAGATTTCTATAAATTTTAGTCAAACCTTTACAAGTTATCTCGCTGCTGAATACTTTTGGTAATTATTTTGCGTCCGGTTTGCTGTGCATCTAATTAACCACTAGCGCCAGAACCACCTACAATTGTCTTGATAGTTAATTAGACAAATTAATTAACCAATTATTTTGCAATGTTGAATTGAATTGTGTGCACCGTGTGACTCAGACATGTAGCATATGTTAGTATGGCGCATCGAGTGACTAAAATCCTGCGGTAAAGACGATTAAAATGTTGTGCGGGTTTTTGCAGAAAATATTAACCGTTTTTTGTTTCAAAACAAAATTAAAAATTAAAATTAAAAAAGATTCAGCTAATTGAAGAGTTTGCAGGTGAGCAATTGAACCGTAAAACTGAATTTCTTGAAAAATATAATTCATAATACATATTTGATATGAACATTTTGATGTTTGATAAATAATCAGTTAAAAGTTTAAATCCCTTCACTTTCTAGATTTTACTTCTGCTTTAACTCATCATGCCACCGATATCATCCAGCAATACGACGTCAGACAGCACGATTTCCAAGTTCACAAAGATTCTCCCCCTTTCAATTCGAAAAGATGGTTCACTCGCGTCATTTTCCGCAGTGTCAGATTCTTCCGCCAGCGGAGGAGGTAGGCGATCATCCAGTCCTCATCGTCCCCAAGGCGAATCGAAGGAAAACGTTCGGGTCACGCTGACCTATCCGTCGCCCGCATGTGGAGCCATGAATCCTCACAAGGACATCACACTGCGCCTCACGAACGATGAAAATCCAGGATTCTTCTATCATTTGAAGATAACCGAGGCTGACTTCCCCGAATTAAAATCGCAGCAAGGACTTTTAGTGGATTTTTATGGCTTTCCAAATCAGTTAGTGACCCTTTTGGAAAGATGCGATGGAAATTATGGGGGCGAGGATGGCTCTTCTTTTGGAGGTGGTGGAGGAGCAAAGTTCGTTATGGTCATGAAAATTGGATCACATGCAATTGGTGAGTTTTTTAATATATATTTAGTACATAATTGTTGCATACGGTTATAAATTTTGTACTTAACGTTTTCTAATGCGCAGTATTGGACATTGTTGAATCAAACCCTTTCAAATACCTTTGTCACTTGTCTCTCCACATCAACGCCGGGACGGATGGTGAGGTCAAGAAATACCTTTGCGATGTAACTAGCGGGCTAAAAAAGGACTACGAACTCCTTCGAGACAAGTATAATCATTTAATGTCCAGCATGGAAAGTGAGTCTGCCAGGATGAAGGAGCAGATGGATGTTAAGAATGGAGAAATTGGTCATCTCAGAGACCAACTTCACGCCCAGGCTAATTCCCTCTCGACCAAGCATTTCCAAGATATGACGCAAGAAAAGGAAAAGCTATTAAAGTTGCAGTCGGAACTTGCTGCAAAGTTTGAATATGAAAGGAGCGAGATGGAGAGGCGACACTCAATTGTAAGGATGAGATAATTTTACTTATATCACTAGCTGGCAAACAATGAATTAAATTTTGTAACCTAAACTTTCTAGACAAATTCTACTGTGGAGGAAAGAATATCTTGTCTCGAGACAGAAAATCGTGACCTGCTTCAAAGCAAGTATAAAAGTGAGACAGCTCTGCAAGACGCAGCCAACAAAATAAAGCATTTCGAAGACGATCTCAAACTTTTGCAACAGGAAATTACGCTTCTTCGGAAACAGAATGACAAATTGGATCACGATTACCACGAGAAGCAAAGCCTGAGTACGAATCTACACAATCGCGTCACTAATTTGGAAAGTGAACTTAGAGAGAAGCAAATCACTCTGGAAAAAAATCATGAACAGATTATGCAGTTGTCCGAAACCAAAAAGACTCTTGAAGATCACGCCACGGCGATGGTGAATGAGGTCGAAAGGGTGAAAAATGTGAACAAAATGGTCTCAGCAGAGTTGATTAAAGCGAATGAGATTATTAAAAAGTTGCAGGATGATATTCGCACTTTGAACTCAAAGACGAAATTGCAAGTGAGTAGACTATTGTTCTTTGTTCGTAAATGATTTGAAAAGTTTTAATACTTCCGACGTTGAGGTTGAGCATTGCTTACTTTTCTTTAGGAATGATCATAAATAGTCTTAAAAAATATTGATTTTGTTTTGTTTCTATTTTCTCTTCTAGACTCAAGTAACTACGGAGCAAGAACGTGTCATCACGGACAGAGACAAAGCTATTAACGATCTGGAAGCCACTATTTCCTCTTTAACTGCATCCTTGTCTACAGCAAAAGCCGATGTCGACAAGCTAACGAAATCAGAACAAGATGCTGACGTAAAAATACAAGAGTTGGAGAAAACGATTACATCGAATGAAAACATGATTTCATGGTTAAACAAACAACTCAACGAATTTCAAGGCCTTTCCAACTTATCAAAGTTTAGACAAAATCTAGCCATGAGTGCAAACTCACAACTTGGACAACATCAAAATAATCCTTCCCCAATTGCGCATTCAACCTCTACTGGCCCCACTATGTCCAATAATAATGAACCAGCCCACTCAAAAATGTACTCTGCTACAAATAATGAAGGTAGTGGTGGGAGACGCTTTGGAGCTGCATTCTCAGCAAGCAATCAATCTCAGAACACTCTCCTGAACGGAACTCCTTCTTGGATGCACATTTATCAAAGCACTTCCACTCCGTTGGATGATGACCTAAGTTCCAGACTGGAAAAGGTGGCGACTAACCCAGGTCTCGGTATGAATTATAACGACTTGAAGTCACGTTTCGCAGACCCGTATGAAACTGAACTAATGAACAAAGACGGCAAGAAAGAGACTGACGACGCAACAACAAAGCCAACAAAGAATCATCCTAGTAGGACACCGACTTGGGCTCGGGGCCGTGGTGGCAGAGTCACTTTGGATCTAACGGCTGGAAAAGCAGGGGCGTTACGTCGGTAATTGTTTCGATTTTGCAGTTTGTTTCCTTGATCTCTTATCGGTATCTTAATTTTCTAATTTTACCAATCTATTTACTATTAATTATAATGCACTATTTCTGTCTTCAAGCATGTTAGCTTTATGCTGAGTTAGCAATTTGGTAAAGTTCCATTCACGTTTTTTAAGAAAGTCTGTGCAATTTGGTAATATATTTATTTTATATTTTAATATATGGCAAATATATTTTCAATTGTTTTAGTGCTACATATAAGTTTAATTGGTCATTATGTAGTGTTGTTAAAACTGTTATAAATCATGTGTTTAATTCAATTCAATTTTTAGAAACTCTGTCATGAATTATGACTTTTTTCCTTTAATTCATATGCAAATAATAGAACATATAACCGGCCAATACCACGCTACACGTATGTGTAATACATACTGACACTTGTCAATGCAATGCTACCTTTTTAACATTAACAATAAATGAACTATGACAAAATTTGGTCTTTTATGCATTTTCTGGAAAACTCTGGAGTTTGTGACGAATTATGCAAAAATTATTTTAAACAATGAAGAAATACTGTTCAAAATCATAAGTTCATATGCATAATTTACGTACGTCCAGAGTCTATTCAAGCGCACGTGTATAACTAAAACGATTTATTATACTCAACAGTTTCATCTTCATTAGTGATACTAATTGTTATTGTTGGTTTGGCCGAAATGTCCACCCAGTTTTTGATATGATCTGGACAAAATTTCTTTAGCAGATTTAAAATCGGGGGACTAATACACAGCGGATTGATCAACTTTCTCTCCCTTTTCGTTACTTGATTGTAAATCAGACTCATAATTAAACCGAGAAAGACTGCTAGACAGCAACCTAAACCAGAGTACCTGTGGAATTGAATAAAATTGACAAATAAGTGCAAGAATAGATAAGTATGTACATAAGTGGGCAAAGCGGAAGAAAACTATGCTTTATGGCTTATTACTTTACATACCACATGTACGAAAGCGACAACATTTTCACTAAGCCTGAGTATTCTTTATCCTTCCATTCTGTGTGACCATTATTGCTGCTAAAGATTGACATGGTGTCATTAGATCCAGGGCATCCGGACACATCCAGGGGAAACGTTTGGACGGGAAGTTGGTCTTTAATCGAATTTAAATTGGTTCCGAGGACAAAGGTGATCATGATGGCGAAAGTTGAAACTAGTCCAGCCGTTGCACCCTAAATACGTAAAATACTACAAATGACAAAACTGCAACAAGCTTGACTTTATTGGCTGACTGACCTCTGCATTAGCCCATGGAAAAAACATTCCTAAAGAAAATATCCCCAGCGTTGGTCCCAAAATCACGCCAAGAAAGGAGCTCGTCACCTTAAAATCGAAGGACACTTTTCAACCTTGTTCATGAAACAATAAGATTATGAAAATCGTACGGGTAAAATGTCCCCCATATTTTTAATAACAAAGACGAATCCGAACGAGACCATTCCCAAGACAAAAGTATTAACTTTAGAAATCAGAGAAAGTTTCAGATCTGATAAGTTTGGGAAGAGTTTGTTGACATAGTCGTAGGTCGTAATTGAAGCGAGGGCTGTTAGTCCGCTGGATAAAGAGCTCATACTTGCACAAGTTAACCCCGCAATAAATAACCCCAACAAGCCAGGAATCCCGTCCGAAGTCTCGGATACAAAGAGAGGTAGCAATTGGTCAGAGTTCTCGACATGTGGGTCCGCCCCTGTCTTGAAAGTTAATAATAATGCTAAAGAAATTTAATAATATAAAACTATGCTAAAATACAAATACCTAAAAACACTGACCTTGTTAAGAGGGTCGCAATCATGGAATTTGGCAAATATGACGAGCCCCGTGAAGAAGCAGAGTCCCACGATGACAATTAGTCCGAAAAAGTTTATGGCCAAAGCTCTACGAAAAACGAAAAATGCAGAATTCTGGACAAAATTACCATAAAGCGTCGTTCTATCATACCGTTTTACTCTCGACATGTTTGGCATCGAGAGAAAGCGTTGCACTTGCAGTTGTGTCGCGGCATATGACGGAAGCCAGAAAAAATAACCAGCGAAAATACATGTCCAAATTGTGTGACGAGTACGTGGGTCAGGGTCAAAGCTTGAAATTTTGCAAGTAAGTAATTAAGTTAATGACAGAAATTACGTAACAATTTACTTTAAAACTCCGAGCCTATCTCCTTCCTTTGCTCTTTCCCATACGATGGACATCCCACCCACGTCACCAACGCCTTTCCCAACAATGACTGATAAAGATAGCAGCATCACTCCTGCTTGAAAGACATCAGTCCATAAAACGGCCTACACGATAATGAAACGACACCACACCCACTCGTAAAAATATTGCTGTATACCAACTTCACCATTTATATTTTTTTCTTGAATTCTATACCCACTTTTAGGCCGCCCTGAAAAAAAACGAAATTATAATGGTACAAAAGTCTTTGAATGAATTTCTCTGCAATAATAAATACTTACGATAGCTGAATAGAAGATGCAGACAAAATAGATAATGAAGCATGTCAACTCGACGGAGACATCGGTGACTATTACAAAAATAATAACTAAATCCAAAGTATTGCTTTAAATATTTCTCAATAGAATTGCCAAATTACCGTAATTAATTGCAAGGGCAGGAGCATAAATCGCAATAGCCATGCTGATAATCTAGAAGAAATGGCAGAATATTTCATTCAAATTGCATTACATAACGCATCATTCCAATCTTGTACCAGTTTCATACCACATGCAAAACTGCTAACGCCGATACGAACACTCTCACCTAAATAGTAAAAAAACGCATAAAATCATCAATATCAAAATCAAAAATAATATTAATAATCAATATCAATTCTCAAAATTGTATAAATAGCAGTAGCTTCACTCACCCCATGGCTAAATCGCATCTCGATAAACTGCAAATTTCCAGTGGAAATTACAACTATTAATACGTATTGTTTCAATTTTTCGTGTTATCAGAATCTCGTATTCACCTCGTATGCTGAATTCACGTTAAGATTGAAATAAACAGGAATGTAGAGGTAGAGCAGGGCGAGATTGAAGGGGACAAATGACAAAATGACCATCAAATATTGTAACCCGTACTTATAAACCTCGACAGGATTTGCTAATAACGTAATTGCGGAGACTGCGGAACATATCATCGACAAAGCTACCGGTATGGAAGACATCTGACGATTCGCTGAATAAAATCGACAATTTAATAGATAATTTATGACATTTGATTCTTCTCGTTCTCAACAACTTATCGACATGGCATTTTACGCTTACCTAAAAGATACTCTTTTGTCGTCTTCTGTTTGCTGCCAAAGCACCCGTAAAATATTCCTATTCCGACAGAAATTGAGAGAACGATTCCAAAAACGAAGTAATCCACCCAGTCGACTTCGGACGCCATTCTTGCAAGAATTGTAAGCAATCTTAAATCTTAATTGTACCCAATTTATAAATATGTAAATATATAGTTAAGATATGATCAAATCCAGTGAATGGTCCAAATAGGATTCCAACACCTGGTTATAATTAATGAAATTCTATTGGGTAAGGGCAAGGGTATGTCGACACATGTCAGATAAGCCGTTTAACACGAGAAGAATTAAATACAATCAATTTCAATACCTTATCTTTGTGATAATGACACATGTAAAACATGACGCTACTGGCCAAGTCATGCAATTAAACAACCGTATTTTGTGTTATATAATCACAATTAACGTTTACAAGTATGCAATGTTTTTGGAAGCTGAACAAGTCGAAGATTGTGTATCCCGATTAGATCTCAGAAATGAAGTAGTAATTAAAACATACTCAATCTGAAAGTATTTTTACCTGAAATCATCCGTGAATAAATAGACGTGACAGGATAGTTTACCTCCTTATAGTGCTGATTTATTTTCACACAAAATCAAAATGAGCAGTGAGATCAAAATCTGTAAAAAAACATTATACAAAATGGAATGCATTTAAGCATGCATGTCAATCATTCTGTCTGAAAGTCTGAACTTTCACTGCATCCAAAATAATATGAAATCAAAGTACTGCAAATGACATGCAAAACTCAAATATAAATTATTACACTCATATACCTACTAGTACGTTAACAAAGTCTTAGAACATGAGCAACACAACACTTGTGTTCTATAAGTCAGACCTTAAATTGCAATTGAAATAACAAAATGAATTATTTATGGAACAGACAAACATGAGTAGATTTCCGTCAGTATCGTATTTTGTTCTAAAATTACTGACTAGAACTAGGTTGAGATTGTTCATCATTACTGTTGCCGTACAGCCCAGGATTGAAGTATAGTTCCCGATGAAATCCATAACCTTCGTAGGCCGACATTTGCTTCTCGTCGCCATATTCATTGTTCACAGATCTCATTTTCAACCCAACCTGAACCATATATAACAAATCAAGACCATGTTTAAAAAGTATTTTATTCAGGTTTTAATCAAAAGTTTAACTAATTCCTACCTTTCGTAGGAGTCCGTGAATCTCAAGTTCGTGAGCATGTTCACGAAACGCTTCCACAAGACCTATTAAAATTAAAATTTAGAATTGAACAAACAACTTGGATTGGGATTTAATAGATGTTGATTTCTTCATTTTTTCTCACAATTTATATACCAGGTCCCTCTTTCAGTGTCTCGGTTGGCCACGTAGCCTGGAACGGTTGAATAGCACACCAAAATATCTTCATTACTTGGCAGCAACTCTCCACTTCCGTTTGTTGGTGCCGGACAAAAATTTCCTGGTGGTGACTGGGGTCGAATGTCGGCCATAATTTTTCCATCCTGTTCCGTTCGAATCGCTCCCCTATCTCGACTATCACCTCGACAAGCTTGGACTATGAAGATTTTCGGCTTGTTGATTAGCTGACGACAAAAGGAATTGTTGAAAGGCTTAATGATTTCTTCCTTCAAGTCGATATACGTATCGCCAGGATCACTCGTTCTGATCAGATTTCCAGTTCCGTGACTCATAATTGCGACGAGGCAAGCGTCCACGTCCTCATGTCCCGGAAGGAATTGATCGCGGAATTTACGTAAAATTCCTTCGGTTGGATGTTTTAAATCGTTTCGTGTAACATTGTGTCGAACAGTGGTGTGAAATCCAAGGTCCTGGCATAGAAGGCGTAAATTTTCAGAGTCGTGCTCAGCCCCAGTCCGTTTAGCATTGGGGTCATTAGGGAAGTCAATGTTATTCATGATGAGAGCGAAACCTCTGGGTTTCGACATCATTGGATAAGCCTAGAAAAATAACAAATTAATTTCTGTTTGAAAAAAATAAGCTGAAACAAGTAAGAAACAAATTAAGGAACCTCTTCATCCGATGTTTTTCCCTGATTATACTGTGTAGCGCGTTTAATTGGTTTTCTATTAATAGGCGACGCTGGTGGAGTTGGAACAGCGGTCACTGGACCTCCAGTAAGGCTTAAGTCTCGAATGGCATTATTCGGCAAAATGTTGTGGAGCCCATTTGCAGTGCTGAGCGTAGCTGGTCTAAAATAGAATTACGATGCATTTATGAATTAATTTACTTTGTTCATTAATTTAGTTAACACAAGACATACAATTTCTTTTCAGCTTCTATGATCACTCCTTCTCCAGAACCACGACTTGACTGTGTAGACGTGGACGACTCTGGCGTTTCTGAAAGAGTCCGTTCGGCACTGTTCCCCTCACTGCTGGAGACACTTTCCGATTCGGATGGCGACTCGAGGGATGACGAACGTCCCACTTGCGGATGATGTGGACGGGGAACAGGTAAAACGCCACGATTATTCATCTGACTTAATTGAGGTTCACTCCCAGTTCCAGCCAACAAATGGGCTTCGCTAATGTGACCAGTTTCTCTCAAAGTGTCGACTAAATGACGAAATGCGGTAGGTCCACGTTTCGTGTACATTAGGAAAAATTCCTGATTCTTTTGCGAAGTCGTGGGAAACTTTTCAGTCCGTTCAACAAATTCTCGATCGATTACGCCTTTGTTGATAAGTAGATTCGCGATTTGCGGCACATTTACTAGTTTCGACAGAGTCACCAAGTTCATCTGAAAGCAACACAGTCAGTTAACTTTTACCTAAATAATTCATAATTAATAAATAATGCATAAAGATTTCAGTTATTGTGTTCAACCTGAATCTTATCCCGATCGCTTTGCTCCATTCTATAAACAAAACAAATGTTACAAAAACCACTAAAAATTCTACTATTTTATTTATAATAAAGTTAATAATACAATTCTTTCATACTTTCTTCCAAAAAACTTGTGGCTGCTTCACACTGGTTATTAAACGTACTTAATTAAGGGAAGGAACAATCTGTCGTATTTCTAAATTACAATTAGTTAAATTAAATTAATACAAAATATATTCGTTTTTTGACAAAATACGTCGAGTTCTTCCCGGCAGCGAAATGCGAGGGCCACCAGAATTGAGAGGCGGTTGCAGAAATGTGTGACTCACGAATTTCTCGAGTAAACAAGACAGTCATCCTCATCATCTGGTTGGAATTTGTGTCAAGTTTTTAAACGACCTGAAAAATTAAACTATTTTGTACATTTAAAAGCTGAAATTACCAATTGGAAGAAATCACAGTTAGTTAAATACCGTAAAAATCGGCATTCACTTGAATCACATTATATTCAAGAAGTAGTTTGTAAAATTTAAAATCTAAATTTACAGAAAATTCTGAGAACCGTCATTTGGTCATCTTAGTCAATTCCTATGGACGATTCCGCGGAAACGCTAATCACCGACTTTATCCGTGATGCTGGCGAACTCGCTCATCGAGCCATCGCTCAAGATAAGGAGGAAAACTATGAAATAGCTGTTTACTTTTATGGAGAAAGTATATCCTTACTAGACCGAGCTAGAGTAGAAATTGTTTCTCTCTTCGGATCTGAATTGGAGGATTCGACGTCGTCAAATGAGAACAATGGGAATGATGATAGTGAATCGTCTGGTAGGGGTGGGAGACGAGTCGACTTTTGGAAGGATAAATTATCTATGACTGACCGCAAGATGCGAGAGTATCAGAGAAGGATAGAAGAATTAGAGAGATGTGAGTCTAAAATAGTATATAAAGCATATCATACGGGCATTGTGTTGAATTATCAATTTTCTTCTAGTAATTATAGAAAACCAGCTGAACGATATGCACATGACTAAATTAAAATCGGAGGAGGAACAATTATTCGAACAGGCCAAATTTCTAGTGAGTCAGGCACTCGATGCCGAAGAGGATCCCGTCGGAGTAGACGAGGAGGCCGTCAGATTGTACACCGAAGCGGTCCAGCTTTGTCTTACAGCTGTAAGGAAGTTATTATTTTGCATAGTTAGAAAATTATTACCAACTAATTAATTAATCCCTGTTTAGAAAGCCAGCCCTAAAATTGACGAACTGATGGCAAACCAAATAGCTAAACTAGCCTCTCAAGCATTGGATAGGGCAGAAAAATTGAAAGGCATCACAACAACAGGTTCAAAGGGGGGAGCCGGGCAACAATTTAGTCCCTGGCCTGCTCCACATGTCACATCATCATCCAGTAGTGGTGGTCCACCTCCACAAGAGTCCGCCCATGGTTCCGACATTCCGCAAACTGTGACTGGAAAATCTTATTATTCTGATGATGAGAAAAAAGTGCTCTTGTTCACCTCCAAAATCAACCGAATCGATTATTTACCCTTTATGGATGTCGATCTCCGAGAAAAGTTTGCCACCCATCTTCCCTTTTCTGATCACAACGGATACCTTCAACTTTCCCCCAAGCAAGCAAAAAATTTTTTCAGGTGGGCGAGACCGGATGAGATTTGGTCTAGCCCAAAAATGATTGAACGGATTGATTGTTTTAGTATAAAACAGACTGTGATTAGCGATTGTAGTTTTGTCGCGTCCCTTTCCGTCAGTGCCCTATATGAGAAAAAGTTTAAGAAAAAGTTGATTACGAGTATAATCTATCCCATGAATAAGGCTGGAGATCCAGTGTACAATCCGTGTGGTAAATACATGGTGAAACTGCTGCTAAATGGTGTACCAAGAAAGATTATGTAAGTTTGTACTTTTTATTCATTTTTCTTTATTTTGCCATTTGTGCAAATGGGAATAATGTTATTAATATTATTAATGATTGTTATCGTTGCCCGTTGATGATTTTTTATTAGATTTTGGGTTGTCAGTCTGTGAGGTTCTTTTCAGCGGAAATGGAATTATGTGTTGCATGGCGTTTGAGGGTTGCACGTTGGAAAACGGGTGTGTTTTTGTCAACTTTTTCTCCAACCCGGCAATCTTTTGATTTAACAAGATGATGGTCTCGTCCTTCTTCTGCAAATTTGACTTGAGTGTGACGATCTCGTTCCTCAGTTCGGCAACTTCGGTGTTGGCAGTTGAACCTTCATTGGGCGCAGACGGTAGAACGACAACTTGTCTATGAATGAAACAAAAAATGATTATTTGCAAGGTAAAACTGTTAACTTCGAAAGTTACGTAAACAGGCATACCTATTTTTTTCGATCTGCTTGAATCCAACCTTCCGACCTTTCCCCTTGAACGTGCATCCGTTGTTTATGTGTCGAGATAAAGTCGATTTATCTGAAAATCCGACGTGACAGGTTTCACAAACGAAAGGTTTCTCAGCCGTGTGAGTCCGGACATGACTAAAAAATTAAACATGTTTACAACAATACACAATGGATTCCGACGCAGTTTTTATAAACCAACATAATCATGACTGAAGGCTTGTCGCATCTATAATCACAGAAATCGCATCCTAATCTGCCGGTCGTTCCTCTGAACTTTCGTTTCTTTTTCTCTGGTTCACCCAATGCAAGGCACACTTCATCTTCTTTTTCGACAACATCGATGACGTTGTCTGTTGCTGAACTAGGAAACAAACCCAAAAAAGTCGCCATAATGTAAACATCTATACACAATTACAAATTCATCATTTGGTATTACTTAATAGCATAATTTATGACATCCCAGTGTCTTGACAAGAGTTTCTTTACAGTTTTTGGCTTGATTGAACACTTAGCTTCCTTGTAGTCTCGGGTATAATTTTTTAGTGCTCCAGCGCTCTTGAAAGAGGCACCAAAAAGTGAGGGGTCAATTACTTCGATCGGATCAGCAAACAATGGGATTGTCCATTTATCGCTGAAATTTAAAAGTTTTGTATAACTATGAAATGTGAATTAGTTACTGCATATGACAAAATAACTCACAGATAACTACAAGATCCCCCAGTCACACCGTTATCCTTGCTTCGATTATTCGTCAATCTAATTGCAGTTTTTGCCCAAAGAAACTTATCTTGCAGGGAAGACTCTCCATATGTCAACTCCCTTGGTCTAAATAACGCATCTCTGTATACTTGTATCAGAACGCGGTTCAATTCAACACCTAGATAATAACATGCACATTTAGAAACACGATATACTGTCTGAATGTCAACAATTTATACCATTCATTTCAAGCAGTTCGGTTTTTTGCTTAGCGTACACGGTGTATTGATCATCAATTTTTTCAATGACATAGACTGAAGTACCATCCGGAACGTCGTCAAGAAGCAATTGCCTCCTGGGGGGCTGGTCCGAATTAGTTGACATCAGACTCTTCTTCTTTTTAAGAACAGACCTAACAATGTTCATCGAAACTTATGTCATACTTATGTCAACATTTGCATCATAAATAATAAATATACAATTTTGTATACCACATTGTTTCACGGTACCCGACCAATATCTCTCCGAAATCTTTTGCCAATTTATCTCGTGTCTTGATGCGTTTGGAAGTGGAATCCAGCTCGACATCGTGTAATTCACACATGGCTGTATTTGTCTCCAGCACCAATTTTTTTGCTTTCTCCACTAGTCGATCCCTGACGAAAAATGAAAGTAACAATATCACATCTGCAAATTTAAATGTGTGCATCATAAGTCTTACAACGTACACTTTAGGAAGTTCCTCGGATGATCTGTCCGACCCAACTCTCTCCACTCTGATTACAATTGATTTCACTATTAAAAAGACAAGATAAAAATTTCACCATCTCATTTAAGACAAATTTGTGACTGAACTTACCATTTTTTTCAATCTCACCAAACTTTAACTCAATAACTTCCTCAAGTTCACTAAACGACATGACTAAATTGACTAGACAATTAGTTAATGTGACTGACATCAATTAATTTGTAACAAGCACCAGGTTGTTTACTAAAAGACTACGTCGGGTCGAGTAGTTTAAGGCCCCATATCTTCGTCATAGAGTTTTTAGTCTCACTTAACCCTTGCTCAATGGCCTCAAATGCAGTTTCTAAAATCGCATCAACTCCATGAGTTTTGAGATAAATGCAACTTTTGATAGCTTAATCGAAAGCTAATTTTTGGTAGTACAAACAAGTCGATTTGAAAAAAATTTAAAAATTCGTTTGCCATTGTTTTCACGATAAATTTCCTCGAAAATGAATTTTTAAATTTTTTTCAAATCGACTTGTTTGTACTACCAAAAATTAGCTTTCGATTAAGCTATCAAAAGTTGCATTTATCTCAAAACTCATGGAGTTGATGCGATTTTAGAAACTGCATTTGAGGCCATTGAGCAAGGGTTAAGTGAGACTAAAAACTCTATGACGAAGATATGGGGCCTTAAACATCGCAGAGATTGAAAGAGTATGGAGTAAATGAATAAGTTCTCCCATCTCACATTTTCCCAATAGAATCGATGATTACCTACCCGTGGGGAAGAATGGGGAGCTGTTGTGTTCTTATTCTAACAATAAGGGGGAACTTTGGGTAACTATCTAGATAATTTATCTATAGATTGTTAAAAATAATTTATTTAATTATTTATATACTGTATGTATCGTATTATGTATTTATTATTTATTGGTTTATTGAAGGTGTCACTACTGGAGAAAGCATACATGAAAGTTATGGGAGGATACGATTTTCCTGGAAGTAACAGCAACATTGATCTCCATGCGTTGACCGGCTGGATTCCTGAACGTCTGTCCATCCACTCCACAGAGCATGCTCCATTTGAAAAGAACAAGACGTTTTTAAAGTTGCAGGACCGAATGGCCAGGGGAGATGTCCTTGTAACTGTGGCCACAGGAAATTTAACAGACAAAGAGGCTACCCGGGCAGGACTGGTTCCAACGCATGCCTGTTAGTATATTATTTAGCCACAAACTAATAACTAGATGAGACACATGTTTAGTAAAGTCCTGTGTATATTTTAGATGCTGTTCTGGACATTCGAGAAGTAAAAGGAGTTCGCTTATTATTAGTCAAGAATCCTTGGTCACATTTGCGCTGGAAGGGAAACTATTCAGAACTTGACGCCCTGCATTGGACCGATGAGATGAAAAGACTGCTAAATTACGACCCTAGCTGTGCCAGTATGTTTGATAATGGCGTTTTCTGGATTGATTATGACTCCATCTGCAAGTTCTTTGATGTGATTTATATGAATTGGAATCCAGGTTTGACATTTTATTAGCATCTTAAAAAAATATCCATATAACATAATTTACAATTTTTACTGATGTAATTTCGCTTCACTCCTACATGAACTTATTTTTTCTTGGTATTTCAGCCCTGTTTCCGTTCACATATTGCATCCACAAGTGAGTAACATTCCAACGCTTTTGACGAATGGTAGCTTAGAATTTGCGTAATTTTATGTACATAAAAACGGACTACGTAAATCAGAGCCGATTCGTGGCCTCAACTTTATATTTTGTTTTAAATATTGGTGAAGGGAGTCGATCCGCGATACGACCCATAGCGTGTTTTTAACACATTGGGGTTGTTCAAAAACATTAAATGTTCCTAAACATTAAATGTAACAAAATTAATGACTAAAAATTCGGTCAAATTTGGTTCAACATGACAAATCGGATGAAAAATAGCGAAATTATGACATGCGAACCAGCTTTTGTGGAATACAGGGTCATGGCAATGGGTGTAGTCTTGCTACATGTCGACAACACCAATAAGTAGGGTTGTGCAAAATTTCATGCAAATCGGCCGTGAAATGGCGAAATTATGGCATGGAGACGAAATCTGGCGAAAACAAGGTGATGGCGGCGGGTGGGACCTTGTGGCATGTCAACAACACCAATAAGAAGCATTGTGGTCAATTTCAAGCAAATCTACCGAGAAATTACGAAATTATGGCATGGCGACGATGATTGGCGACAACAAGGGGGTGGCGGCGTGTGGGACCTTGCGACATGTCAACAAGACCAATAAGAAGCATTGTGCCAAATTTCATGCAAATCGACCGAGAAATAGCAAAATTATGTCATGGCGACGAAATCTAGCGAAAACAAGGTGGTGGCGATGAATGTGACCTTGCGACATGTCGATAACACCAAAAAGAAGCCTCTGTCGATGTTTGATGGAAATCGGACGAAATATGGCGAAGTTATGGCATGTCGACGAAATTTGGCGAAATCATGGTGGTGGCGATGAATGTGACCTTGCGACATGTCGATAACACCAAAAAGAAGTCTCTGTCGAAGTTTGATGGAAATCGGACGAAAAATGGCGAAGTTATGGCATGGCGACGAAATTTGGCGAAAACAAGGTGGTGGCGATGAGTTTGACCTTGCGACATGTCGATAACACCAAAAAGAAGTCTCTGTCGAAGTTTGATGGAAATCGGACGAAATATGGCGAAGTTATGGCATGTCGACGAAATTTGGCGAAATCATGGTGGTGGCGATGAATGTGACCTTGCGACATGTCGATAACACCAAAAAGAAGTCTCTGTCGAAGTTTGATGGAAATCGGACGAAAAATGGCGAAGTTATGGCATGGCGACGAAATTTGGCGAAAACAAGGTGGTGGCGATGAGTTTGACCTTGCGACATGTCGATAACACCAAAAAGAAGTCTCTGTCGAAGTTTGATGGAAATCGGACGAAATATGGCGAAGTTATGGCATGTCGACGAAATTTGGCGAAATCATGGTGGTGGCGATGAATGTGACCTTGCGACATGTCGATAACACCAAAAAGAAGTCTCTGTCGAAGTTTGATGGAAATCGGACGAAAAATGGCGAAGTTATGGCATGGCGACGAAATTTGGCGAAAACAAGGTGGTGGCGATGAGTTTGACCTTGCGACATGTCGATAACACCAAAAAGAAGTCTCTGTCGAAGTTTGATGGAAATCGGACGAAATATGGCGAAGTTATGGCATGTCGACGAAATTTGGCGAAATCATGGTGGTGGCGATGAATGTGACCTTACGACATGTCGATAACACCAAAAAGAAGTCTCTGTCGAAGTTTGATGGAAATCGGACGAAATATGGCGAAGTTATGGCATGGCGACGAAATTTGGCGAAAACAAGGTGGTGGCGGTAGGTGGAGCATTGCGACATGTCGACTACACCAATAAGAAGTCTCTGTCGAAATTAGATGGGAATCGGACGAGAAATGGCGAAATTATGGCATGGCGACAAAGGTTGTCGCCATGCCCTGCATTTATAAGGGGGGAGCTGTTAGCCGCCCTTAAAAGGGCGTTTCCAGAGCACACGACGAGGACGTCGCTCCCTCGTGCTCCACGCGGGCGGGCCCCCACTTGCGCCCTGAGGCGCAAGGGGGGTCTACCTCCACCGACCGGGAAAGCCCTGCCCACGTCACCGCCTCTGCAACCGCGTTCCCCAAGGGGGCCCGTCTGACCTTCGCCTTACGAGGTGGGAGCGCACCCGTAAATCGGCCCCCATTAAGGCTTCGAACTCGGGAACCCGGTCGGCCCCAAGGGGAGGTATCGCTAAAGAGCGGCGTCACCCAAGGGTTGGAGGTAGAGAGCCCCTCTCACTTGCCAAGCGCCACCCGCACTTTTGGCAAGCCCCGCCGGCTCCCCACCCGGTGAGCCTGCTTGGTGGGAGGAGCATTGGAGGGGGGACCTTCCCGTAAGGCTCTCCCCTTGCAGCGTTGCTCCCCCGGACCACCCCTCCAACGAGAGTCGGGGCTGTGGGACATACCACGGGTGGACCCGACTCCCCAGAGAGGCAGGGCGGCCCAAGGGCGCAGCTGCAATGGGGAGCTCACCCAGGGATACGTCCCCCACGAGCTCCTCCCGCAGACTGACAAAAATTTCTGGTGCAGCCCCTTTTATACCCTCTGGAGGGCGGTGAAAGTTCTGCTATAAATAGCACACGGTGAAAGTTCTGCTATAAATAGTACCCGGTGAAAGTTCTGCTATAAATAGCACCCAGTCATACTGGATGCTACTGCATGACTGGGTGCTATTAATAGCCTATGTATATTAATAGCACCTTAGATAAGCGGCCTCACATGTTCCGTGTTTACAATTGTTAAAAATAATTATTTCAACGTTGTTGAGGTTGCGAAAATGTCGATTCTTATAGTTTTTTGGTCGCTGATTTCGAATCTGAGATCAGTTTTTCGATTGCGAGGTCATAGGAAGGAACACATGGCATGGCAATGAAGTTTCTAAATAGGTACATAAAATTGAATCTAAAACGTACTGGATCACTTTGACGAAGCACATCTACTTAAAATAAGCGAGGGGCTTTTTTGACAGTCGATTGATGGGCATGACATAATCTGACTAATTTATATGAGATTCTGTATAGCTGACTTGAGGACAAAAAATTATAAAGCTACAAATAAATATAAGATTGGATTTCATAAGAATGGACATAAATTCATGTAATTCGGCAGTATTTGTCAATCGGCGTGCTTCCCTGAGACTTATTCTTTCTTACAAAACGGCCGAACATGGTGACCATCAGCCTAATGATGTATATTTATTATTTTGTGTCATTAATTTGATTATAACTTGTTGTGTTTGACTATTACAGCACGTGGTCAGCCGGAGTTGGGCCTGCTAAAGATGTCTACAACATAAGTGAAAATCCTCAGTATCGTCTAGAAATAAAATCTTCCTCACCTGACGGAGCAGCTGTTTGGGTTCTCTTAACAAGACACATTACGGAAATTGAAGACTTTAAGGAAAATCGGGAGTACATCACCGTCGTCGTGTATGACACGGACGGGAAACGCGTCTTTTACCCCTACGAGCCACCCCCAATGATAGATGGTGTAAGAATTAATAGTCCCCACTACTTGTGCAAGATTCGCGTCCAGGGCACCACCGCGAAACGATTCACCTTAGTAATTTCTCAGTACGAGAAAATGAAAAGTATCCACTACACGTTACGTGCCTACTCGTCGTGTCCCTTCCAAATGAACGAAATACCGGAAGTGGGTAAATATCAGAAGCAAATCACCGGTGAGTGGAAGGGAAAATCTGCCGGAGGATGTTTGAACCATCCCGAATCTTACCAGAATAACCCTTGTTACAAAATTGCCCTGAAAACGTCATCCAATGAAAATACACTCATCATCGAGTTGAAAGGACCCAAAGACTTTCATGTTGGGTTTGACATTTTATGCTCCAACGTCACAGATCCGAAAGCTCCCGGATTTTTTAATAAGAAATCTTGTGGGAATTATAGGTAACATATAATTTTATAGCCCTTCATTGATTCTTACTTTTATACACAACAAAAAAGGTAACAATAATTACTTGTTTTTAGACCCGGCTTCGTCGTACTACAAATTGACCACGTCCCATCAGGCGTTTATCATATTATCCCGACAACCTTTAAACCAGGAAGTGAGAGTCCATTCTTTCTGAAAGTGGAGAGCTCATGTGACTTTAGCATGGACAAACTGTGAAACTAAACTTTTTGAATTTTACCTGAGCTATGCAAATTCTAACAACATTCTCTTTAAAGTGACCTTTTATCTTATAATAATGTCGTGATATTTTATGCAATTATATGCAATTATAATGTCACAAAGAACATGAAATAATTACCGGTGACCGGTGATGATCTACTTATTTTGACAATATTATGCTGCTGCTTGATGTTCAAAGTATTACTTACTACTGTATCTTAATAATATGCAAATTAGTATACGTCTATAATTGTGCATATATTCAAGTTTTGTTTACAGTGTTTGTTCAAGTAGTATCATAAAAATCATTTCTCCTTCTCGACTGAACTCTGTAGAAGTGGGGTAGACTCTGTCGCCGAAGGAGGATCATTCTGACAAGGACACATTGTTTTACAGCAACAACCAACTGCCGTAGTTCCAGCTTTTACTCCCAACTTGCAACAGCAGCAAACCACGGTGGCTCCAGTCTGAAGGGCCCATTGTACCGCAAAGAAGAGCACGTTGATCAAAATGCTCGGAATGGTCATAACAATGACACAGATGATGACGACGGTTTCGAGGCTAGAGCAAATGCAATTTAGCTTTCACTTTAAATTTTACGTTTGGGAGAGTTAATAATCCACTTGATAATTATTATCAAGTGGATCCACCTGTGACCCGTTGTTTGTCTGAAAACCTCGCTGAGGCTTTTGTTGTACGTCGTTCTGGCTACCTCCAGGTCAACAATCTCCTTGATTTTGTCCAATTCGTCTGAAGTGAAATTCAACGCATGCGACGAGCGAAGTTGGAAAGATATCAGCATAATTATTAGTGGAGAAAGGTTAATCGGACTCATTTTAGTTTATGATTTGTTTGCTAGTGCACAGTTTAAAACGGAAGTATGATTTTCTTTACATGTGATGGAATCCTGTGTGAAAGTATTTCACCTACATGCATAAATTATAAGCATAAAACTTAGCAACGACATGTTCATGGAAATTGCACCTTTTCGCAGCTCAGTTTGGTGTCGGGTGAAATTCATTGCGACCTAATATTTTATATCGAAGTCAAATCGGTGTCAAATTAGCATACTTTCACACATGCTTTCACTGAAATTCCACTTTCATCCAGTATTTCAAAACCAAAGCAGCGAACAGCAGGGACGAAGAAAGCAGGAAATGAACTCCTTTGTTTTACTTTCTCTCCTCCTGCACTTTACCTACTTATGACGTGAACATTGCGCAACTCAAAACTTATTTGATGTATGTTTAGTAACACCAACCAAACCCGTGTCATGCATGATGAGACTCCTTGGCACTTTAGCTACTGCAACACACTTTCTTCTCTATATGCAGCCCTGTCTCTCTAATTTAACCAGGTAAAACACGATGAAGGAAGGAAAGTAATTAACTCAATTAAGCAAGATTACACAACACGGGGGGTCGATTCATCGAACTTTCTACCTATTTCGCTCCTTCAATCAAGTCAGATTTGTAATTACCATGCATCAATTATTGACCTGTCTTGTGCAGGTGTGTCACTGAGGCCAAAATTTTTCCAATTTTCTTCCTACTAAATTCTCAAGTACGCCACGCGCGACAGGTACCTAAAACCTACCTGCGAGTGGTTTGGTTCTTGTTGTTACCTTGATAATTTCAAGCCTCGCAGCACAATTGCATGAGAGAAATAGGGAAAAAAAGCACACAAAAGAGAATGCATAAGCCAAGCCAGCATTACATTTCATCTCGTTACACTGCATAAGCATAACATCGCGTATACTTTATACACACGCCACCACATAACAAGGCCCACTGTTACTATGAGCAAAAGAGAAATGAACTCTCCAACAGCAGCAGCTGAGTCGCTTTAGTAGTGGGCTTGCCGTTTCTTTTGTCTCGGGTAAAAAAAAGTGTTGGTTGGTTGTTGGTTGGCTGCCTGCCTTGGTCTTCTCTGGAGCTGGAAGTGGGGCTGGAAGTTATCGTTTTGGGGGAAGGATACCTGGACTGTTTAGTCGTTGGAATAGATAACCCACCCGTTCTGATTTGTACAAGGACACGAAAGTTGGAGGGAGAGAGAGACGGTACCCTTTGACCTCTTTCAACTACGTCACCCATCACCACATCTGTTACGAGGAAGTGCGAAGTAAGTGAGAGGTGACCTATTTTTCAGTATTTGGGATTTTGATAAGTATTTTATGTGGGAGAGAGAGTCGAGTACTTGGCACTGTTTGGATTAGCTTTCTCTCAATTAAAAATTAGGGATTTACTAAATGGCAAAGATAATGAATACCTTTGCTGTGGGAGATAATGGTGGGGTTGATGAGTCACGAAAAATTATATTTAATTTGGCTAATTATTCGTAAAAAACATTTTTAGAGATCGACTTCATCATCATTGAAGTTTAAGGGCGACGGCCGTTTGGTCTGGTCGGGTGTGGCGTTGCGGTGTGGCGTTGAAGTGAAGTGACGACGAAAGAAGAAGACCAATAAATAAGGATTGATTGCAGGCGATCAAGAAACAAGCCTTCGTCACATCACAAAAGAAAGAGGTCAAAGGTGAGATTAACTAAATGATGAATAATTAAATAAGGTATCTCATTTATAGTGTTTTCTTCAAACGTTTTGTTTTTCTAGGTAAAGGTTAACATTAATCTAAGAAGGTTGGACCAGACCAAACTTATCGAAAAAAAACACTGATTTGTTCCTTGCGCAAGCAGCATTTATATTCAAGTGAGCCAAACTTTCATCATTTCGTGAAATTTCCCAAACTTTCTATTTTTCAAGTCTCAAATAAATCTAAGAATATAAGTTCGAAAGCAGAACCCTAGTTCAGAGTTACGATAGATAAGTCGCCAGTAGGCACTTCTGACCTCATTGGAAGCATGCCAAATAAATATATTCTTCCTCTCTTTGCTTCTTTCAATATAAAGTAGGTGATTTACATTTTCTACACGAGCGTGTGTGTGGTCGTGTCATCCTAATGTGGTTTCTTTTCTTCTGGAATCTGTATTGTAACAAATGAATCCCAATTTATTTATTTTTTTATCTTGTTTTTTAGATAAAAAAAACTCAGGAGGCTTATTGTTACGACTCAGTTTATGCGAGTGCAGTTTGCTGCGTTAATTCTGACATACAACAGACGCTCAATACAAATTTTACTACTCATCCTCTTCTTTTTGGACCCATACAATGAACAACGGTCATGGCAATGGCTATCATAACCACAACGGTCATATGAGCAATGGATATGGAGGCGGAACTAGCAACGGCTATGGAAATCATGCCGCTGCTGGTCATAGCAACACCAACGGACATTCTGCTCCTGCTCCGACTATGACCAACGGTCACGCGCATATGAATGGTCATGGTGCAGCGGCACTCGTTCCTGGCAAGAATGGTTTAACCTTGACTCGCTACGCGCATCCGGACATGTGCTTCTACTGCTTTGACGTGCTGTACAGCAACTTGAATAACGTGGAACCCCCAAAACCACCTGGTTTCACTAATGATGCATTGTAACAATATATATTTTCAAGTCATTTTCGACTAACAAATTGAAATTACAACTATGTAACTAAATAATGAACTATCATTATTTCTAGTCCGCTCTTCGTCACTTGGAAAATTGGAAAAGATCACCGTCTTCGGGGTTGTATGGGAACATTTAATGCGCTATCTGTAAGTTCACAAAGTTTTTTTTTGCAATTACGAATTTATTAGGGATGCTATTTCTGCTGCAGCTCCATTCTGGATTAAGGGAGTATGCGGCAACAAGGTATAAAGAGATCTAATCTAAGGATAAGTAGAAATATATTGTGAAATACTGAACTGATCGCTAATTCAATCGAGTTTTGTTTCAGTGCTTTCAAGGATTCTCGTTTTCCGCAAATAACTCGCGATGAGTTTTCAAAGCTCCACGTTTCCGTCTCCATTCTCTGCCATTTCGAGGAGGGGGCGAATTATTTGGACTGGCAAGTCGGCGTTCATGGGATTCGGATAGAGTTTCACAACGAGCGTGGCTCCAAGCGGACGGCAACTTATCTTCCGGAAGTTGCTCCAGAACAAGGTAACTTTATATTAAATTAATAAATTTTCGTTGTTAGATTCGAGCTCCCGTTGAAGACTTACTTATTATTATATTTCTATGCAATTTCGAAAGGATGGAATCAAACGCAGACAATCGACTCTTTGCTCCGCAAAGGGGGCTATAAAGGAAGCGTCACTCCAGAAGTTCGAGCCTCCATCAAGCTAACTCGCTACCAGTCAGAGAAGGTGTCTGCTAGCTACGCTGATTATGCTAATCGTTGGCAAAACGGTAGTATAAGATCCTACTGAATTAGGCATTTTTTTGACAGGCAGTCCAACCAACCAACCAATAAAACATCCAGCAGTAAATACGAAAAGTAGTTCTTTCCTCCTGTTACGTGGAAATTTAGAAATCATCAAAATTATAGTACATTAGACACCAAAATTTCGAATGATTCCCAAAAGAATTACTAAAATTCGTAATGATTTGTTTACGTTTTTTTCTTCGCTTAAGTGATACTCAACTACCTCGTTTTCAAAAAATTATCTCATTTTGATTGGCATAAAGTGGAAAAGATTAGGAAAACGGCAGTTTATATATATGTACGCTTTCGAAAACCCATACTATCTCCCGTAGTCCAACAATGCAACCATTACTGGTTGTGTTTTGCCTTATACAGCAATTAACTAACGTTTTGTCGTAAAAACCTGTCCAAGGACAACTCTCTGAAAACCGAAGTTAAAAAGGCCATGCTATTAAAACACCGACTAATATCAAGTCATGTGATGAACACTCCAAACTTTGTATTTCTGCCTAAAAAAGATTAATTTAATAGTTTGCTGAAAACTCTTGTTTGAATCTAAATTATGCGGTCATGCATGCAATGTTTTTTATAACTGAAATTGGAATTCTGAATTATTTAACTGGCTGCTGAAAAAACTGTGACGAAATGTGAACTGAAGTTGTAACTTATCGTAATAACTTATTAGAAAAACGGTTGATGATGTGTAGTAAGACGACAACGACTAAAAAAATGGCGAATGATTGATTGATTTGACTAAGACAAATGTTAATCTAACAAACTTCTGGTGTGGATACATGCGATACATTTTTTTTAAAGTGGTTATGCGTTTGTATAAAGGTAGTGGCGTGGTGTGTATCTTTTGTTTAACTTTATATAGTTAACATTTTGTAGGTAAATATTCAAAAAAGCCAGTGTTCCAGGTTTTGTACATAACATGCTATGTAATAATAATATTAATAGGTTTGTTTGGGTGCTGGGGATGATGAATTGACGATGAATTGGGATTGGTTTTTTGGTTTACCAAGTGTGTGAAATTATGAGCAACTTCTCCACACAAATTACACATATGGGTTTTAGTACTTGTTTAGCATAATAATTAATTATAAATATGGGTTATACAATAAGGTTATTGGGAATGATTCATTCAGGATGAAGATTTGCGAGGTAAATGGTTAATGTGGTGTCTGTGTTCGTCTGTAAGGTTTTTTGTTATAATCGAGAAAAAATCAGTAAAAGTAAAGTAGCAAGCGCATGCATGATAATTAACTATTTTAGAAGCGCTTTTTGCGAAATTGGTGACAATGTGAATAAAAATAAAAATATGTCCATTTTTGAATATTATAGCGTCATGTAATCTGTGAGTGTCGAGTCGAATGTGTATAATAAATAAACTGAACAAAAAGCGAATAAATAAGTCGTAAATAAAAATTTACTAATCATGATCATTCAAAACTTTTCCCGACTAGAACATTAAAGTTACTTACTAATAAATATATCTCATTAATACTAGTCGGACAGTAGATGTGTGGGTTTCTTTACAAGTGAATCTTTTCCTTGCAGTACTGGAAGAACGGAATTGAAAAATGCTTTTTGTTGGAAATACGTGATTCCCATTGATATCAAGACGTGAGCAGCAGCAAGAACGCCTAAAGTCCCTTTAAGCGGCTTGTAGACGGATGTTGTGTACGAGAGAACATCTTTGGGACGATTGTAGATTCTGGGGAGGTGTCTGTCTTTAAAAGAGGAGGCGACCTGTGATGATAGAGGAATTCATTTAAAAAAACGGGAAATAAATTCAATTTTGGTTGATTCTTCTGGAGAAAAACTTACAACATAACTAACAACCGGAGCAAAAATCATTGGATAAACTAAGCCAGTAGCCAACTGGACCCCTGCTGCTCGGACTTGTAAGCAGATAGGGCAACTGTATCTGCTGGACTCTTGAACAATTGGATTGCTAACGGCCTGAAAATAATAATGATACATTAATGTTATTCTAATAAGTCATCGGTAATCAAATCAGCTTTGCATACTTACGATATGGTGCCAAATAACCGAAGATACCCCCGACAGAGCCATGAGTCCTATGTAGGACGAAAACCTTAAACGGAAATCGAGATATAACGCGTCCCTAAAAGTCTTGTTAAGAAATCCTGCCGTGGCAGCAGAGGAAATACCGAGGACTCCAAGTCCATAACTGAATGGCCACCTGTAAATGATATGTATGGTTAAAGGTTATGTACATATCACAAATAATTAAAATTAAAGAAACTTATTGTTAGAAATAACTTCTTACACATCGTAATTAGGCCACTTTGAAATCAACCCCATCACCATCATTCCTTTATGTTTGGGTGCAGTTATTGACTTCAATTCCTTATCAATCGTTTCCGGTTTTTTCATAAATTGTGCCGGAGTTCGTTCGATAACTTGGACTGCTCGCTCACGCTCTGGTCGCGGTTCATCGTTGTAACTCATTGTGTCAAACTGCTGTATCACACACAATTAACAATTAATGGAGCAAATAACAACTACCTAATTCACAAATTACAACAATAATTTTTTCAACATCAACAAATCAAGCAATGTGATAATACCGAGAAACGGCTCAAATTGCGCAGAAATGATTTCACGTGGATTTGTTTTGTATTAAATGAAAAAGCATATGAACAAGTTGCAGAGGATGTAACGCACACCAAGTCATTTTTCGTACAAAAATTGAAAATAAAACCAAAACTACTAGATTCAAGCTCACAATTTATTTATGCCATGCTGCATAATTAATTGCCTCATTATCCCCAAAAATAGGCTCCACTTTGCTTATTGCAGTTTAAAAACATTACCAAACTTCCCAATTCGTATCCCAATTTATACCCTCCCGCCCACGCGACCACTTCTCCAACATACCCCAAACTTCATTGTCAGCTTTAGATTTCCTAAAAATTTCAAATTTCCGTATTTTCGACATCTCGACAAAATATTTTTGACACCATTGTGACCCAAAAAGTGTTGAGGTAACTTGATAGCATAGAGTAAAGCTCTCTATCTGCTCTGCAGCAGGATTCGTAAAGGCAGGGCTAGTCTTTACTTATGTATCGCATTTAGTAAGCCAACTTCTCACTTCTCTCCCTGAGAATTTGCCAGCCAGAGTTCTTCTCCTGTCAGTCTCGTTACTCGCTTGTGCAAGAAATAAATAAATATACACCAAAATCTGCAACAACAATTAACTGGCGAATAATTAAAGCGTGGAACAATCACGAAAAAATCGAAAAGTGTTCATCACCTTGTTACTTAATTTTACCTTCCTGCTACATAATTATTTTCCTCGTGTGGGAGGTGATTAACTGTTAGAATCATTTGTTTTTCCAAAACTGGACTACCGGAATTTTTTAAAACGGTTTTATTTTGTGTTTTGTACTGAGTAATATTTTTTAAACTGAGGTGAAGACTTGTAAATGTTTTATGGTGCTCTGAATTTTTAAGGATTTATGATTATCACAAATTTTGAAACTGCCAGTGAAATATTTTTAACTTTGTTTTGTATTAAAAACAGTGATTTTTAAATTGTAATTGGTGAAGTGAATTTCCAATGGGATTTTAAAGGATAAAGCTCATTACATCTTTATAGGTTTGTTGACACGTTCTTTCCTGTTGTTAATTTAAGTCTTAAGTTTTTTTATGCTTTACAAAAGAAAAGTTTAGTATTTCCGGAGATTGACGGTTACGTAATAAGTTAAGTAATAGATGGTGAAATGAAATAGGTCATAACCGTGAAGGGAAGTTATTTCTAGGAGAGTATGAAATATATAATTTTATTCCTACTTGTTTTTTGTTTTGCATAAACGAGATTTTGTTGTATGTTGTGTAACATCAATATTTGATAATTTTGCATTATTTACATTTCACAGTACATTCACACTCGCAGTTTAGGCGATATTTGGCAATATTTCTTGATCGTTGAAATTATCAATAAACACAAAATTAGTTGAATAGATCGTCAATTTGAGAATGCAAGTCGTTAAAGTTTGAATCAGAGGTTGAAAATAAATAAGTCCCTAAGTCATAATTATTGATGGACCAATAATTCTAGTAACTCTAAAATGAAGAAATTAACCAATGATGACCATCATCCGTCCTTCACTAACAAAGCTTTCATTTCACATTTTTAATTGCATTTACACTTTGCCGTTCTCTATAAACACTTGAATTGTTCAATTACACCACCCGGCCATTTATTAGTAAATTTCAATATTGGCATGAAAAATATGCAAATTCACTAAAGTTTCATTTTACATCTTATTTTTACTCTCTTCTATTAATACTAGACGTTGAGCGATAACAATAATAATTTCCCTTCCTGCATAATCAATCCGGTCGGATCTTTTCCTTTAGTCACTGATCTTTGTGATCATTGGATAACAAAAATAAATATTCTATTGTTAAACTGTTGACAAGTTTGACGAAAGAACTGCCTGTGCCTTCTGCTACAAGTACAAAACCATAAAACTTTGTGTGCCGTGTCGGAAAATGACTTTTATGTTTTTGTCATGAACATTGAACACTCCAAGATTGAAACTCGGATGTAAATAACATTGCGTTTCAAATTATTTAGAGTATGACATTTTGCAAGTCAGATCACAAGTCAAAGAACCAATTTCAAAATTCATTACAGACTTCAGAATCAAATGAAAGGTGACACGACATGTGGTTTCAAATTTAATCGAAAATTCTCATTGAAAAAGTTTGCTCAAATTTCTTGAAAACTCCGAATTTTCACGCTCCAGTTACATATGCCTCAAATTAATGAAATTAGTTTCGCTCTTGGTCTTAACGACTATAGGATTTTGCATGCCCACCAGATTTGGAATTTGATTATAAAGGTGGGTGGGTGTATTATATTCTGTTTTGCTCACTTTATACTTTCTAAATAATAACTCCAATGCCAAATCCAAGTTTTAGTTTTGTGCATCATGTATTGTATCCAAGTTAGTTAGTTGATTCATACATAGTTGGTCAATGTCACCAAGTATAAAATAATAATGTCAGTCGTTTCAATGCAATTAGAGAGGATGCAGCATGTGGTGGTTTGTGTTTTCATCTCTTATTTTCATCCATGTAGGGTTGTGTCACCTAAAACCAGCGTGTCAAAATACACATGTCAAATACATGCAATATGTGTGTGTATGCTGCTACCAAATAGCATGACTATACGACTAAATTCGTATAGATAATGAATATAGTACTGCACTGATGTGACTGACTGATTTCGACAAGTCATCGGGTTGGGGATGGAGGAGATGGGATGAAATGCAATTATGTTATGACAATGACTTCACTAAAGGGACGAGAGAGTCAGTATATTTCTGCATGGATGAGTAATTTGGAGCTATTTCGTATAGTGAGGAAATGGGCAGGGAAAACTGAATCCGTTTAATAAATAGGGATCTCTCTGGTTGAATTTAATTTCCGTCCGTTCATTTTGTCCGTCTAGTTAGTTACCCTGTCTGAATTGAAAATCGACATGCTTAGCTTACTTATTCTATGTAGATGGATATAGAGCTTTTTAAATTTTGAAATCAGACTGTCTGCTGACCTGACAATGGAGGACTCGCAGCGTATGCTCTCAGATTTTGGGCAAATTAGTGCCAATTTAATTAATAGGGGAAAACGCGCATTGAAACTTACACTTTCCAATTTGGATGTAAATATCTCTGCCAAACGTGCCCATTGGGAGATCGTGTCTTTTGTAAATTTCATATTAATTAAATTCGTAATCGATTAACACTAAAATCGGAGAGCATACGCTGGGAGACCTCCATTGTGAGTCTGTTACAGTGATATAGATAATCGTACAGCGTTATTAGTTAAGTCAATAACCCACTTCATGAATGAACCAAGAGTTTTACTTAACAACATGGTGTAATGTCTGCAAAGTGTAATGTGATGCAATATTATGTGTATGGCTAATATAAATTGGTGGTCATCAAATTTAATTCGTTTTTTTTACTCGAGTTACATGCCAACGATTTTCATGTTTCATTCAACTCAGCTACTAGATTAGGGGGTAGACTTATCTCGTAAATAAATATTGCACATCCCATCTAATAACATGTCATGATATTCGTCCACTTTTCATGACATTATTTCACCCATTACAAGTGCCAAACTATGTATGATTACAATTTAGAAAAATATCATCTTAATAACGAATAGTAAACCGCTGTAAAACCGCTTTGAAACAAGTTATTCGTTATTATTACGATTTTTCAATTTTAATGAACATTTTTTCACGGAGATTATAATCCAGAAAATCAAACTGGTTCTGGTTCTCAGTAGTAATAGTAGCTGATTTGAAAAGATTCGCAACCCCATCTGGCAAAATAATGCAATCCAATGCACCCAACGAGCCGAACTAAATCCTTTTCATTTCATTTAAAGAGAATGAGTATGCAATTGCTAATTGTTGTTCGTATTTCCTCTGTGAATTTGCAGATTCCATTATAAACCCGAATAAGCTGCTCTCCTTTGTATTCCTGCAGCGAGGATGAAGCAATAAAAGCGCAAGGATTGGACTTGGCATATTTTCTGCTCAGAAAATTAAACCTCTTCACGTATTAACACGAGAAAATAAAATACCTAAAACAAGTTTATCCTAATAGTTCGTGTCGTTAAAAAGAGTTCGGATTAACACTTATTTCCTGCTCAACATTTTTCACCTCGTCAAACAGATACGTAAAACAAGCGCAAGAAACTGGACCTACACTACTACAACAAACAACCACTTACATATTGCCAGTGGCAATTTGCCACCTCAAGAATACATTGTAAAATAATCACACGAAGAAGAAGTGTCTATCACGATTTACCAGGTTGCCTGATTTGACTTTGTTACCGGAAATTCTTTAATCCAGACTAAAGTGTTATTTGTTTAGTATTACATACATACAGCATTAAATTGCTCAATTAGACTCTCCTCCGGTGCTATACAATTATTTCTGTCAAGCTGAAGGAATTAGCAGACATTCTTCGCCAGGATATTCCGCGGATCAGGATGCCTGTGCGCAAACAAGGTAAAGTTGATTACAAAATTTTACTACTTTTTGAATCGAGTAAAAATATGAGTTTCTTGATTATTATTATTATATCGTTAAATAAGAAGACGTAGTTGCGTAAAGTATTTTTAACGATGATTGATGACACATTCGATATTTGAAGAACGTTGTGTAATATATAAACAAAGTCCCCAAATATTTACTAATTGCCTGTAATGATTTAAGAACAATGGTATTTAGGATTAGTTTCAGCATCCCCACTGCGCGTCTCAACTTCCCATCATGCATGAACCCATTACACGCAATCTCAATTTCCATTTTCTTAACATTTCCTCACAAAGTGATATTATTACAGGTTAAATGGTTTCTTAAATAAGTAAGTAGACCTGGCTGGAGAAGTTAGTAATTTACGTAGGAGTGAGTGAGCACACTAAAGAAAAGCAAAGTTTAGCTGGAGACTGGAGAGACTTATGTAAAGCTGAGATGTGTGTGCTATTCCTTAATTGTTGTTGGAGGAAGTAACATAAATAAACATGAGGTTTCTAAGATATGTGGCATTCTATCTGACTCCATAATAGACAAGGATAGATCGCTCATCCTTTCTTTACTTTATTTTGACGTGATAGAGCACCCCCGTTTATTTTAGTTGGACAGAAAGAAAACCCATAATAAATAGTGTCATACAAGGCGAGGCTTT